CTTGCATGATCTTCTCGGGCCAATCCAAATCTGTCCGCTTGATGGCCTGCTTCAGAACGGCGGTGGCGTAGCTGGGGTTGGGTGTCCGCCGGGCGGCGTCAATGGTGGCTTCTCCCTGCACAAACTTGCTCCAGGAGATGAGCTCCCACTCGTAGTAAGTCAGCCAGAACTCGTAGCTGTTACCGCGCCGACCGACAAGACCCTTGAAAGTCTCTCGGGCACTATCCCAGCTGCCGCTTTCGCTAAGATAGCGGATGTAGATCCGTTCCAGGCGGAACAAAGGGTCCCCTTGGTAGTTCCGCCCGTATTTCTTCTCGCCAAGCTCCTGAACGCTTTCAATGGCAGATCGGATTCCAACCTCCGCCACGTCGATATCTTCGTCGGTCGAGTCAGACAGGAAGGCCTGTCGACGCAGATAACTGCACCAAGCGGTATGCACTTTGAGCACTTCCTCCATGCCCCCAACATCCAGCAAACCGGTGCTGGTCGCTTTGTGCTTGATATCCGCGATCTTCGCAAAGGACTGTCCTTCGCGCTCGGAGCTTAGCAGATATTGCGACCAGAGGGTGCCGGAACCGGGACAGTGGCGAGTCGCACGGTCCAAGGTGGCCATCGTCGCAGTTTTGGTGTTGCCGTGCATCGATTCGTTGACAAGGTACATAATGAAATCCTCCCACATGTGGCAATCGGTCGGGAAACGAAGAACCGCGCGCTGGTAGATCGACTTGACGAACTCGAAATTGCTCAATTGCCGTTTCCGACGACTTTGTTTGAGCTCCCAGTCAAGATACTCCGTGAATAAGGTATATTCCTGTCCTAACTCGCCGGACTCGGTCGCATTGCGTAACTTGATTTCGAACTCCTCGCGGGCGGAGTATTGTTCCTTGGCTGCCGTGGCGTGTCTTCCAACCATGTCGGCCATGATGTTTTCGTAGTTCGCGTTGTAGTAAGTTGAAACAAAGCCGGAGAAGTGCTGGAAGGTCTGGTCCCAGGTGGCGTGGGGCGTTGCGAGACGGACCTCAAAGAAGTTCCGCACATGATTCACCTTCTCTTGGGTAGCGTTGCGGGCAAGATCCTGGACGAGCAAGTCGAGGAAGCGATCCCACACCATATGGCTGTCATGGATTCGCCATTGGGTCGACTCGGCTCCCCTGTGCCAGACCTCCAAGACGGAGGGCCAAGTGAAAACTTCGCGCCCGACGATCCGATCTTCCTCAGTCCAGGAGCTCTGGCTGGCATCGCCATGGGCCGATTTATAAAGGTACAGCACCCATTCTCCGTAAATGCCCCAGAGTTTGGTGCTGCCGTACTCTTCCTCCACCGATCGTTGGCAGAGCTCCATGACTGCGATGCGTTCCTCCACCGATTGTGCCAGCATACTCTCATCCTGGATCCACTCCGCCCACAAATCCTCGCCCATGGCGAAAAGCTTGTCCATCTCCTCGCGAGCGGTGCGCATGTCCTTAAGCAGATCATACTTGCGTGGATCCCCATGGATTTCAGGGTTATTAGGCGGGTAGACGTGATTGACGAAGCCCGCGTGTAGCAAACGAATGAACCGGACGTGCGCTTCGTACGACTGTGGGTTTTCCTGTATCTGAGCAAATAAGTCGGTCGCCTGCCGCTGTGCGTTGGGGACCAAAGAGCTATCCAAGTAGCTTCGTTGGGCGGTCTCCCGGGGACCGTCGGACATCGCGATATCGAAGGAGGATCGGGGCGTGGGCGTGTTGTGGGAAATGGGGTTGACGTGAGGGAACATGGTGGAGGGTGACAGCTGGCTTTCGTAGGACTCGGTGCTGCGCAAGAGAGGGGCGCCGGGACGCTGAGGCTGGTGATGCTGCATCGACGCTAGGTCGGCTAGTGTGTCCATACCTGGGGTGGAGGGCTGTCTCGCAGGCGGGAAGTCGGTTGCCGGGGGCGTTCCGCTGCCACTGCCACTGCCACTGCCACTGCCCATGCTAGGACCAACCTTGGGGCTGTTGGCGGGCGGTGACGGATCAGGCAGTTGATTCGGGGCGTACACATGTTGCGCCAGCGGCGAGGAGGTCATACCCTGCTTGGTTGCGCCGGCACGAGACTTTCGCAAGGGTTTTGGCTGCGGCGGGCCTGAGACGGGAACCGAGGCATTGTTGGCAGGCGTAGACCCCGCGGTGGGCGTGGTGCGCCCGGACTGTGAATTGGAATCCTGGGGCGAAAGGAGGGAGTTGATGTCCATCATCAAGGCTGTGGGATGACGGGATAGAAAGACGAGAGCGAAAACCGGGGCGGCAGATATCAAGCAAAAGTCCAAGCGCCAGCTATGGTGCTGACGTAAGGAAGTTTTCGAAGTGGAATGAGAGACTAAGGGAATAGACGAAGGAGAGAAAAGAAAAAACTCGAATTAGAGAGGAACCGTTGCAAGTGACCTCATCAACGAGTCCATTCCTGCACTCGTCACAACCTGGCCAGATTCTTCTATTTTTTTTTCTTCTGTGTCTTGAGGAACCGAGGGATGGAGTGGCGTATTCTTGCTTTTGAATATCCTTGTTGTCGGTCTGGGTAGGGTGGGATGGAAGGGGATCCGTTCGTCACTTATTCGGGCCAGTTGCGTGGGCTGGCCGACGGTAGGAAGAAAACAGAGGAACTTCAGAAATTAAAGAAGAGCAAGCGGAGGGGAAAATAAATAAAAGGAGAAAAAAAAAACAAGAACAGTGAAGGCGGAGGGGGAGAAAGGTTTCAGGTGGGAGAGTAATTAAAATAGAAAGTGATCCAAAGCAAAAGCAACCAAACAAATGCAAGTGGTGCGGTGTTTTGAAGATCACTGGTATTTGTTCAGGCCTTTGGTTTGAGTTGCAGGTGGGAGGAAGCTTGACAGGTTGGGCGCTTTGCCAAAGACTGCTAAAGTGAGGCGCTGGGCGGAGGTAGGAGAACAACCGCGGAGAGAGCTGCGAGCAACAAGATCGCGCTCTAGATTTATTTGTCTTGGGTTTTAAACCTCTGATGGAGGGAGAAGGCGGGAGGGGAGAGTGGGACAGATGAAGTGGATGGGTGAAGGGAGGGGGGAAGAGAAGATGAGGATGAGGGGAACAGAGAGACAGTCTCCAGCACACACTACTCACTCCAACCAGACGAACTGATCTTGGTCCGAGCGATAGAATGGAAGCTAAAATGGGCAAGTCAGCGGCGGAGTTTGGGCGGGAAAAAGTTGGGGAATTCTTGGGTGGATAGCAATTGGGGAATTAGAGGATAGAGAAATTCACACGCACGGGATGTCCCTTTCGGGGGAGGGAGGGGAGGGAGGTTGATGAGGTGGTGAGCGGGTTGAGAGTAAGAGGGAGGAAGGGGAAGGAGACGGAGAAAGAGGAGGAAGAGTCAGTCGGAAGAGTCAGTCGGAAAACTTGAAGAACTAGGTAAACTAGACACCAAGAGAGGGAAAGAAAAAAAACGAATGACCAGAATGGCTGAGGCAGGAGTTGGAGCAGTAAAAGAAGGGTAGGGAAGGGGAAAAAATAACAATCAATAACAATAGCAACCACCACAATTCTCCTTGTTGAACTACACACGAGCTATAAAGAAACCACTGAAACCTGTAAGTTAAGACGTATCAGGTCGAATCCAGTTCACTGATTTCTAATTCACTAACTGTTTGCCAGTCTACCAAATTATGGAAGTATGTACTCTCCAACTGGTTGAATCTCACTGGCAAAAGAGATGTTTTCCAGAGGTGTACTGTAGGTTACTGACAAAACTTTACTATGTAAGTTACTTGGTAGTTCACCCCCACTATGAGAGATGATATCGGATCGCGGATGTAAGTTCCAATTTGGTACATGGTACTAACTTAACTGCTCTCCATCTGATATCGGATAAGACAACTTGGAAGTGAATGGCCTCGAAGTCAATCACAAATATTAACTGTTGGGATACACCTACCGTAAAAGTCCTCACACCCTCCATCAAGGTGCACGTTGCTTGATGACGGCCGAGGATCTCGACTGCGATCGATTTCACCGGTTGTGTAACCGGCGACAGGGGAGGACAGCATCAGCAGCATCCTTCGACGTAATGGCCGCAGCAGCCCACTTTCCGATCTGCCGATGTCTCTTGTCTCTTGTGCTGTCGCCGGGTGACCACCATTTACTTACCACCACCACCACTTGGAACACTTGACCCTGACTGACACCTTCTCCGCTCCCCGGGGAAAAAGGAAGTTGTCCCGTGGTGTGTGATGGGTATTAAAGGTGTGTCTAGATCGAGAGACCGAGGGGGTGGTTGGCCGGCTGAACGATTGGCTGGTGCTAGCTACACGATTTTGTTCCGGTCGGAAGACATGCAATAAAGGCATGCGAGATTCTTGATCCATATCAATGAAATGAAATCTTTCATCATGGCGTCGAGCATGGATCTCATGTCACATCCTCTAAGCAGGACAGGAAACTCTAGGGCTGGGGCGGCTGTTCCTTAATCGGGCTAAGCGGGCTATCCTTTGGGCTGGCTGCAGTGAGAGAGAGTGAGGGAGAAAAGATAGAAAAAAGACGCAGACTCGGCCTATGAGGTAATTGTACAGCAAGCCGTCGGGCCTTATTGGCGGCACTAGATTCCAGTTGGATCCTAGGTTGATAAGTTTACTTACTACTGAAAGCTCAGCTGTAGTTAGTTAGCCTAAGGTGGGATTTGAATGGTAGCACATGACCCTGCAGTGAGGGAGCACCGCCGGGGCCCGGGCGGCGGTCGACCTTGCCTGTTCGGGCGCTGGCGGGAACTCACTAGCCGTTGTGGCTAGTGAGGAGCTACCGCTGTGGCTAGTACCTAGACTCTCTGTGGCGGTGTCCTTAGTCATGTGTAGTTGCCGCATTTATCGGGCGGCAAGGCAGACATGCTCCTTCCATCCAGACAAACCACTCGCGCAAAAGCCAAGCCCATCAATCAACCGACACTTTTTTCCCTCAAGCATCTCCGGATCCCCGTTGCACGCAAATCCCTACTCTTCCCCCTCCCTTTCCTCCTCATCCTCCCCCATCATGGCCTCAATGGGTTCAATCCAACCCTACGGGCACCTCATCCGGTCAGGTAGGGACATCCGTGACAATTATCCCCTCCCATCCCCAATTCTTATATGCGTGACCTCATCCATTAACACCAAACAAACCTGCAGCCCGGACCAACCTCACCTACGTGCCACGCCGCACCCTGACATCAACAGTCATCCGGTATGCCCAGGAGGGTAACAATGACAGCAACGCTCCCAACAACAACAAGCCCACCCCCGAGTCCCAGCCGCAGCAACAACCCTCCAAGCCGTCCGCCCTCTCCTCCATCAAGAACTTCTTCTTCGGCGGCAGCAAATCCGATGCTCCGAAGCCCACGATCCGCCCGGTCACCGCGCCCCCGAAACGCGAGGGCTCTCTCGGCACGGACTCTATTTTCTCGGAGGATGAAGCCGGCCCGAAGCTGATCACCACCGGGCGCACTCCGACGAGCCGCAAGACCGCCAGCACCACCGGCACCGGCACCGGCGCCACCGCCGACGGGAACGGGCCCACGGAGGAGGAGCGGGCGGCGGCGGCGGCGCAGCGGACGTTCGCGGTCGAGAAGCGCGACCGGTCGATGCTGCAGGCGGTGCTGGACCCGAAGCCGCGGACGCGGCTGCGGTGGGAGAAGAAGATGGTGATCCGCGAGGTGCGGCGCCGGGGCCGGCTGACGCGGGCGGAGCAGATCATGCGCACGGAGCGCGAGTCGTTGGTCAAGTCGCACTTCTTCAAGACCTCGATCAAGAAGCTGGGCCCCCTGTGCCGCCAGATCGCCGGCAAGAGCATCGACGAGGCCATCCTGCAGATGCGCCTCAGCAAGAAGAAGGCCGCCAAGGAGGTCCTCGAGCACCTCAAGCACGCCAAGAACATCGCCATCGTCCGCTCCGGTATGGGTCTGGGCGCCGTCGTCCCCAAGGTGGAGGCTGAGGAGGCCGAGGAGGCCGCTCCCAAAAAGCCCACCCCCCAGCCCGTCACCATCACCCTCAAGGACGGCTCCAAGAAGACCATCACCGACCCCACCGCCATCTACATCGACCAGGTCTGGGTCAACCGCGGTCCGTACGGATACGAGGCCGACCACCGCGCCCGCGGTGTCATCAACATGATGCGCCCTCCCCACACCGGTATGTCCGTCCTGCTGAAGGAGGAGGCCACCCGCATCCGGGAATGGAAGGAGCGCGAGGCCCGCGATCTCCGTCGCCGCAAGGCCCAGCTCTGGACCCCGCTCCCGGATCGCCCCATCACCCAGCAGAACCAGTACTACTCCTGGTAGATGGGCCTGATCCGAAGAGCGGTTGTAATTTTTCTTTTTCTGTCATCCTTTTCATGCCAACAAAATCGGGTAGCTTCTTTGTTTCGTGGTTGTTTCTTCTTCTATCTCACCTGGCGTTCCGTCCACAAACCTGTATTATGTCTCTAGAACCTTGAAACCCCCTCCTTTACCCTGAAGAAAGCAACTATAGCATTTCTCTCTTCGTTGTTATGTGTTTCTGGGCAGCTTTGTTTTGTTCTTGTCGGGTTGATATGACCTGATAGATAGGTAGGTAGGTAGTGTGTGTGTTGGGGAGTGTTTGATATGTATGGCATCTGCATGAGCAGTCACTTCTTTTCCTGGAGCTCGAATCTCTGTACAATATATTGCGTTATATACGGTCTATCCCTTCCTCCATCCCTCTAACATATTGGCCCCCTTCTACCCGTACAGTATCAGTATGACCTTACTACCGAATAACCAAGCCTTTTATACAAGAATACAAACAATACCCAAGGGCAGCCAGCCCTACATAACCCAACCGGACCCAACCCAACCCAACCGCAGCAGAAGCAGCAGCAGCTACCCTCCCTACCCGAGTTGAGGGACAGAACCATCCTTGCAAACGGGCGGCGGAAACCACGGCTCCACATGCATCGGCGGTAGCGCCCCCGCCACGCGCTCCGCCTTGACGAAGATGGGGATCACGCCGCCGGTCTCCAGCGCGAACGCCCGATGGCCCGTGATTTGAAGCATGCTGGTGATGGCGCCGGAGTGCGCCGTCAACGACAGAAAGGTGTTGTTGTCGTGGCTGAAGATGTCCTGGAACAGATCCCGGAAGCGCTTGTCGCGGGCCGAGTCGGACTCGCGCAGTCGGGCGTCGTAAAGGGGGTCGGCCTCGGCGAAGCCCGGTTCGATGCGGTACAGCGGGTATTCGGCTGCAATGGCGGATTTGGTCGAGCGGCCGTCGCAGGTGTGTTGGCCGATTGTTTCGCGGAGGAGCTTTTTTGGGGGTGTTGTGAGTTTGGTTGCGGGGGGGACTAGGGGCTAGGGGGGGGGGGGTGGGGCGGCAAGGTACCTCTTTGATGAGTGGGCGGAAGGGGTCCGTATGGGGGATTCTTAGACCGCTGAAGGTGATGTTGGCGGTGGCGAGGCACCGGTTCAATGGGCTCACGTAGTAGGATTCCGGGGTGGGGATCTTGTAGGCGAGTTGCGTCTTCCAGGCCGAGTGGGCGGTTTGGGCTTGCGAGATGCCGAGCGAGGTGAGGCGGGCGTCGACCCAGGTGCCGTTCTCGTCGCCGTCGAGGAGGGACCAGTAGCACTTTTGGGGGGCGGTCAGTCAGGGAGAGTTGGACCTTGGCGTGAAGGTGGTAAGAGGAGTACGTACATCCCACAGCTCGGTGCCGTACTTGGCCTCGGCGACGTTGTGATAGCCTTGGCCGTGCCGGCCCAGGAACAGCACCTTGTAGGCGGTGTCGGGCTCAGCATCTCGGTTCAGCGTCCGGACCTGGTGCTCGAAGCGCTCCCATTGCGTCTTGTTGCCCTCCGGGTCGAACTCGGGGTCCGAGTCGTAGGGCCGCGGGATCAGGCCGAAGTTGGCGGAGACCTGGTTTGTAGTGTTAGCTTCGCCGTTTTTGTCTATGAACAGGGGAGGGGGGGGGGGAGGGGAGCTGTGCAAGAGATTCATGTTAAAGGGTCCGTACATAGTCAAAGCTGTCTGCGTCGGTGGTGGGTTCACTCTGCAGGAAATAACCTGGGACAATGGAGAATCGCCAATGCGACTCGGACGCGGTGGACTCGGCCATCAGGACGAACCCGGCTGTAAGGAGAGTGGCCACGAGGAGGATGGGGCTTTGCAGAGAGCGTTAGTTTGGAGGAAAAACGAGGCTCTGGTGGTGTATGTGAGGTACCATTGAGGAGTAACTTACATGATCAGTGGAATACGAAAGATGGTGCACAGCATCGACTGGCGATGGGGAGCGAGGAGTTGGTCGTGATCGTGGTGGTGATCGTGGTCAAGCGGCCAATAGCCGGGCGATGGGTCGCCAATGCGCCGGAAGCGAGCCGGAAAAGCTGCCAGTTTTCTCGCCATCCCTTTCTTGGACTCCCGCTGTGGAGATGATATGATAAGTTAGTATGGGGTAGTTCGGTCGGTCCAGGAGGAATTGGTCCAGGTGAGATTAGTGGAAGAATCTCATCTCAACACCACCGCCACCAGGAACAACAAAGCACAAAACATGATGTTGTCCGGTTAAGGCTGTTTGCAGGCAGCAGGTGCAACCAACCCATGGAACACCGCCCTTTTCCCACGTGTTCCTCCCGAACGGCTGACCACTGCTTACAACCATAGAGTGTACCTATACTTCTACTTCTCTTTACACCTACAAGCATTTGACAATTTAAAATCAGATCACCACAGCAGTAATGCTATTCACCCCCAGCCTAAATTATGAAAACTGACTTTTCCAACCAGTCACCAGACCCGAAAACACAACCCAACATTATACAACATGCTATCAAACAGGTATATGGTATCTTCCGCGTAAACCAAACACAACATTAACCATTGGCATGAGATCGACGATCTCAATCACCAAAAGCCCATGTCCTTGCGGACGAGCCAATGTTTCCGCAATGTGGAAACTGCAAGCTTGCCGAAAGATGAGCCCAACCAGGATACAACCATGTTCCCAAAGTCGACAAAGCGCGTAAGCGCAGACGTATTGTGTATGAACACAGAGCCAGTGTATTGGGCGACGGTTGGTAGTTGGGTCGCGCTTGGCGGCGTATCCGACGTGCCACGCCTGTTTTCTGCAAGCGGGGTGCGGGTCGTTTGGTAGCCACAGCTCACTGGTTGAGTGTTGACATGCGTCTTGTCTCGGGTTTGATCGCAGCCTCCACGGGACACAGCGCCATTGGAGACCTTGACGGTCAGGCTCTGTTGGGGGCGGGGGCGTAGGCCGTGGTCGGGACGAAGACCGTGATCGGGGCGTACACCATGATCGGGACGTACACCAGCGGGGCGTATGCCATGATCGGGGCGTAGCCCTTGGTCTGGGCGTAGGTTGTATAGTTGCAGGTATTGACCGAGGCCTGGGGTGCGGATTGCACTGCCATCCGATTGGAAGTGCTTCCTGTTCGACGTTGCAGCCGCCTGGTCGCCGTTGCGGCGGAGCGCTGCTGGCTGTGGAGGTCGATGGACTAGAGAGTCCGGCTGAGCTGTGGTCGAAGAGCGCACAGGATGTTGAGTCGTTGCCCGCAGAATTTGATCTTTGTGAGTTACAAGGACGCTGGCCTTTGATGGACGGAGCGCATGCGGAAGTTGCACCTGTGAGCGTGCAGTGGCCTGCTCTACTCCGTGGAATGCGGTTGGTTGTAGCGTGGGCGAAATGTTCGCCTGCTTCCAGCTTGTGTGGCGCTCGTTGCCACGTCCGTGGACGTGTAGTTGGGTGTTCGTCGCCGAGTGGGCCACCGAATGGGTGGAAGAAGCAGACGAGCCGTTCGCGAGGCCTAGAGCGGCCGCCTTCTCGAGGCAGTTGCACTACAATCAAATTAGCATAACGTCTGGAATGATTAGGGACAGGTATCAACTTACTCGCTTGTGCTGTTTTCGATGCTTCTCACAGGCTCCGTATTTCCGGACCTTGATATAGCTCTCCTTCTGGGCTTTCGATCTGGGCTTCTGTTTCTTGGGCACGTTCGTCGTTGTGTTCATGTTCAGGTCGAGCACCAGCTCCATGGCGCCACTAGAAGGTGAAGCCTGCGGCGTCGCTACTTGGTCCTTCTCACTCATGTCTGGCGACGAGCCATTGGCGGGGGTTGCACACGAGCCAGTGCTGCTTTGTGCGGAGCCCGACCAACAAGGAGAGGGGAACGTGGTGCTGGAAGTCGACGGGACCAACTCGGAAGACGAGGCCTCCTGTAAGCGCTGCAAGTGGATAGCGATAGACGCATCTCGTCTCTTCTCTTTGAGCGTGGAACAACCCAAGTTGGCCATGGCTTGAGCCTCAACCATTTGTCGGATGCTCGCGTAGAAGGGGTCTTCGGTGTAGGTCGCTTCTTGGGGCCACGCATCATCGAACGTTAACCCGGCGAGCTCTTGGTCTGAGAGGGTGGGAAGCGGTTGAATGGCATCATTTGCGCTCAGGCCTATTTGGGGGCTGTTTAATGACAAGCCTGGGTATGTCTCGTATGGACCGTCATAGCTCACGAACTCCGAGAACAGGTTTTCTGGACAAGCCGTGGGAGTGGCACCCCAGTTGCATTCGCCCAAATCAGGGAATGCCAGGTCAAAGTCTCTCGGCGAGACCGAATCACTCGAGGTCGCATTGCTATCCAGGCAGCCGGAGGGGATATCAAAAGAGTTGTTGAAGTCGAACCACTCCTCATCGGGTGTAGTTTGGCTAATCTGACAGAGCAATTGGTCTGCGGACATAATGAATGGATGAATGAGGGGTATTAGGGTATCAAAGAGTGTATGTCTAGTTGGTTTAGAGATGACAGAGGAGCAGACGAATGTAATGCTTTGTCTGATAAGCGGATAAGACAGACTAAGAAGATGAGTGACTATGACTCACGTCCTTGGCTGTGGATTATGAATCAGGGAGGGGGAAACTGTGCTCCCTTGAAGGTATAAGAAGACAGGCTGTAACTAAAGGAAGTGAAGGAGGGGAAAGGAGCGAGGAGGAGAAGAAAAGGAAGCCAGGCTGAGGGGGTCGGAGACACTGACTGTCTTACATAGAGGCTGAGGAACGAGGCTCATCTCGACCCATCCCACGCCTTGCCTTTTTTGGGACCCCGACCAGGAATCCACTAAGCCATTTCGAGACCCCGACGGTCGTCGCCCGCCCGCTGGAACATTACTTACTCCGTCTTTCCGGCTGCAACCCTTATCGCTCAGGCATCGCCAAGCCCCTTCTTATCCTTCTTTAGCCGTTCGTTTTTTGCTGCATGTATAAAACCACCTGGCAAAGGAGCATGCAACCTGAATACAATCCCTCAATGGTGGAAGGCTTGAGAGGCTTGTATACATGCTAGCTGATGCTAGCCTTCAAATTCAGCTTTGCTGATTGTTCTGCATCACACATAGGCCCAATCCTTTTAACCTTGAGGTATTGATCTTAGACCTCTTTGGGTTACTGTTATACCCCGCATAAAATATACTATACTTTCTGAGCATCTGGATTTCAAGGACCATTGTACTTAGCCCAATGACATCATGTTGCAATAGCAAAAATCCATATTTAGAACTACCGAGCTGTTGGAGTACAGGCAATGCTCATACAAAGCTTCAAAGTTTAGCGGCTTAGGTGGAGGTGAAGGAACATGTAGATCATTTGCTATACAATACATGCGATATGCCTGAGAACCCCAAACTCCATCCGAGGTATCCAATATGGTGAAACAAGCTCTACTCATAATTTTCGCTTTTCGTGGTGGCCCCAATTCAGCACGCCCGCAACATCTCCAACATGCCTTTGGTCTGACAAGCTTGGTGCGCCATTTCAACCTCTTCACGCACCTTCCGGTGCAGCCTCTCCACCATCTTGTCGATCTGGGCGGATTGGCCCAAGTTGCCGGAGTAGATATCCAGCACGTTCATGGCCACCTCGACGCAGAGGTTTACCAGCCGTGGTTCAGTGAGGTGCTTGTGCACCCATGCGAGCACCGGCTGCAGTGTTACCTCGTCGCGGTTCTGCAAGGCGGCACGCAGGGCGGAGCGATGGCGCAGCGCCGTGAGAAGCGTGAGCTGGGCCGTCTTGTCGCTGGAACTGAGTACGTGGTCCAAAGCCGCCGTATAGCGGCCCTTGCGCAGATCGTGCTCCCAGGTCTGCTCCCTCTTGCGCTTGCCAGTATCGCGTCCCTCGATTGCAACATCCACACCTTCACCAATAAAGTCCCGACCACGGAGACGCTTCTCCCAGCCCGCGCCGCGCTTTTGTTTGGCCACTTTGCGGTCGTGCTCCTCCAGTTTACCCTCCAAGAGCGCTTGCATCTCTTTCCGACGCTCCTTCTCCTTGATCTTCTGCTGGCCCGACAGCCGGGTCTTGATCGACAAGAGACCGGACGCCATACCGACGGCAATGTGCTTGTCCTCCTGAGCAACGCCAGATTTGATGACACTCAGTGAAAGGATCGGGGACGGGTACTTGGACCCAGACACGACGTTCCACCCCGTCGTCTCGAAGACCTTCATGTGACCGTCCAACGCACCGGAGAGCAACCGCTCCCCGTTCGAGGCCAGCGCCAACGACGTAACCGTCTTCTGGTGACTCTGGATCATGTGCAGGGGTTTGCCGGCCACGATGTCGAGGACGGCGATCTTGTTGTCGGCGGCGGCGAGCACGGTCGTCCCCGTCGGCATGGGCAGCACGCTCTCAATTGGGGCGGCCATCTTGAACGTCATGGCGGCGCGGGTATCCACGCGGGGATCCCAGAGACGCACCGTGCGATCGTAACTACCGGAGACCAGAAGGCCCGACGAGGCCAACGATCCGGGCATAAAGGCACCGCTGCGCACGTAATCCGTATGACCCACGAAGCTGCGGGCGCTGTTCTGGCTGGGAAGATCCCACATGCGCACGGTGCGGTCGTCGCTGGCCGTGAAGAGCGCCGTCGGGTCGCTGGGCGAGAATTTGGCCACCCAGACCGGCTGCTTGTGTTCCTTCCACGTCTTGAGAATCGCCCGCGATGCCACGTCGAAGACTTGCACCGTGCCGGAATCGTCACCCACGGCGACCACACGACCATCTGGGCGCACGTCGGTGCCTCGCGCCGTGTCGTCGAAGCGAGTGATTGTGCGGAGGAGTTTACGGGTGCGGATGGAATAGATCTGGACGCGGGCGCCCGTGGTCACGGTGAAGACATCGGGCGGCTGGGTGAGAGAGGGGAAGGCGGAGGCGGAGGACGGGGCGGAGGGCTGTGTGATGAGGTTGATGGGCCCGTTGGCTGGCGAAGGAATGAGGAGGGGATTCTTAAAGGTCTTCCAGTATTGTTGCTCCGGTGTCAGGCGGGTGGAAGGCAGCGATGGCAGCTTCACCTGCTGCAGGGGGAGGACGGGGGCAGCCATGGCTGCTGGTCGTCGGTCGGGATGTGAACGATGAGCGGGTGAATCGATGCTTGGAGTGCTCAGCGCGAGATTGATCAAATGCGCGGGGTTGGGCTCGTCGAGAGCGCTTGAATGGGCTGGACTGGCAGGTTTGGGATGTTCATGGGAAACTTTTTTTTGAGATAAAATCCATTCGCATCGGGAAAAGTCTGGCCGCGTTGCCCGATTCGGAATAGTGTAGGATGCATATCTATGCTGACTGATTAGTGGCATTTATGCAGGTGGTTTACATCTCTTTTCCAACATTGTTCGAAGTCAATTACTGACAAGCAATATCTTTCTGTTAGATGATTGAGCTCGCATGTTAAGAAGAATTGGTGAAATCAGCTAATGGAATTAACCTGGGTAGGGGGGTTGATCCTCAATTTAATCGTGGATCGTTCAAGAGCTCCCATCCCGTACTCTGGAAGTAACAGCAAACAATGTATACCAGTAACTTTGAACTCGCCACGGAACAGTCTGAATTGCCATTACAGATGGAATATAAATAGTACTAGACTGATTTGTTCTCTAGGTGTATAGCATAATGCATTGTTTATCCCATTTCTTTCACTCAAACTTGTTTGACCTCGCCAATATATAGTATGCGGCTATTCCGCTGTACTCATGCTACGGAGCTACAACAAAAGGTCAGACCGTCAGCTCTTCATCTTTCTAAAAAATGTCCATATCTTCCCAACTATATACAGAGATACCGCACTGATGAGTATTCTTGAACCTGGAACTCGATTTCTGTAGACTCAGGGAAAATAGGATACTGGTAGGCCCACATGAAGAACACCGTAAGGCTCAAACGACCGTCCTACCTATTTCGCAAGTAATATTATTGAATGTGTTATGACTATTGCTATTCCGTGGGGACCAAAATTATAGCTAACTTATCATCTATGTGTGGCAGGGTTCATGCCTGATTCATGCCTCAGGCACAAGAGATATTCGCCGTACGGTAAAACTCCCGGCTCTAGATTTCTTCAAAAACAGAAAATACTAGCTCCAGCCTAATGTGAAACCAGCTTCCGTAGTTGTACGTCGAATGGTTCCGCAACTGGTACTAGGGAGAGAGATAACACTGGAACTTGGCTGTAGCTTCCCTGGGGGTTATAGTGTCTCCCGAGCAAACAAACATTTACCTACTGCATCCCAGTCCTTTGAATCGGTTGATAGTGCTCCGTACCACCGAGTCCTACATTCCATTACTGATTATGCATCACGAGGACAAACATTTTGTACTGCATTCACATGAGAGGCTTGTTGATTGAGCACATTCTACAGAACTTTACCCCCGCGCCATGTCCCCAAGAATCAAGGGCGGATTGTGGGGTAATTGTCAACATGCGCTCTGCTGGTGCACCCAACACATTCCTCCCACGAATCGTCCTTGACGCGATTAGAGTCATGCTGATCAATCGTGACTGTTTTCTAAGTTCGGCAAGTGTTCATTCTTGGGGGTGGGTATTGTCGTCGATTTGCTGAACTGTGATCTACTGACTGACTTGGCGGGCATGACCAGACCACCTTAGGAAGGAATCATGTCGCTATGCGTTACATCCAGCAAATCAATCGAGGTTCGAGCCCGCAGTCCATGGCACCGTACTCAGCATGAAGCTACACGTTTCACAACAGACTCCCAACCGGTTTTCCGCTGGAGCTGAATGCTGGTCTTTCCCGCGGTTGAGTTGAGCTTATCTATCACCAAGCATGGAGTATGTTCCGTACAGAGCACGTGCATGCCACATCACCTCCGGAACAACGACCCGTACCGAAAAATGCCCGAGAGATTATCGCAGGTGGTTGGTGAATGTGACAGGTTGAGATTGATCGGCCTCTAGACCTCGAGGAGCTATTCTGTTCCTTGATGATGAATGTTCCTTGTGCATTTTTCTGGGCGCAGAGTGATCTATCGTGCAGAGCCCATGCGTGCTGCATGATCGTGCCAGTTCTCCGCTCGATGCTCGGTCTCAGATGCTACTTGCCGTGCATGGAATCTTGTTTTTGGCTCCAGTCAAGCTGATACTCTGTCGGAATATACGGGGCCTACTGGCGCTTCTAATGACTCAATTCTTGCTTGCAGAGTCACAGACAATTGGTACGGCCGAATCGGTGCCTGAATGCCGACAGCGTCAGGTACCCGACGACTCCACTCGACAGCCACAGACCGGATCAAGCCACAGCGCTTCCCCACAGCCGATCCTGTCCCTCGGAATGTTGAGCAGCATACTTCGTCACTGACTTACCACCTGCGAAGTAACCACCCCCACGTGGACTGGTATTTCCGATCGATCTAGAACCAGGATGGTGGTTGGTGTGATACTGAAGGATGAACAGGGGAGGGGCGCACTGGGACAGATCACCGGGTGCAAATGAGATCTCCCTTGCCTCCCAATCTCACAATTGATCGGAGACGGTGCCCGTGCTCGGTTTCGGTCGCCTTGCGGGAAGTGGTTGATTGACTTTACCCACAGTATGACATCAGGCTCGAGCCGTGGCCGACTCTGCTCAGACCTCACTGAGATCCAAACTCCATGTAGACAAACACACAGGATTTTTTACTCATATGTGCGGCAGTGGCTTTGACAGGCAGCAGGATTTGCTCGGCAGCTCAGCCCACAAACAGTACGTAGTTTAGTCTCTCGACAAGGTTGAATTTTAGTTTCAGCGCCCGGAAAATATGACGATGATCAATTACCAACTGGGGCTGACGTATGTACGTACAGTACAGGGTACAGGGGACGGAGAAATATTACTGTACATGGAGTAGAATGAGTGAAGTTTAGCCTGCGGCGAGCACTGTACGGTACAAACCCCCTGCTATTTGCAAAACGTGTATACTATACACTATACTTCAATTTAGATGCATCTCGCAAGAATGCAGTGCCTGTACGCACTGTGCCTAAGTAGTGCCTTTACAGGATACGGTTGGGGCAGGTCGGAGCCGAGGGCCCAGGTGAGGGCCCCGGTCGTGGCTTCCCTATGCGGAACCTGGAAGGGAAGTTCAAGCTGAGGTGGCTGGGATTTACCAGATACCAGCTGTGACGCACGCCGAAAATCACGGGCTGTGGGTGAGCTATGGGCGGGAAGGTATTTTACCGTAACCTGCTCAGAAGCCAAGAAACGGATGGGACTAGCCGCTCCTAGTAGCCAATCCTCGGGCGGAATGACATGCCCCAGCCTTCAGCCCCTTGCTCCCAGCCACCGGACTTTGCATACGCTCCACCACTGTCATCCAATGACTGCATGCACTCTTATCGATAACAGGGACTACGACTCAAAGAATAACATCATCCACTCGACTTTCATTCCGCTGCCTCTGACTCTCTCTCTCTCATTCCCACCCACCCACCATCCATCGCTGTTTGTATGTCTCTCTCTCTCTCTCTCTCTCTCTCTCTCTTCTCTTTTCTTTCATTCTATCCTTGCAACCACTCATTCTCCAGTTTTGCTGACTAGTAAAACCCAAGCTTTGACACTCTCCACTGTGATACATTCGTTCTGCTATACCTAGCGCTTATCCCCACTCTCGTTACTCGACATCCTCTTCGCTTCTCTTGTTAGGCTCATCATCAAAACAAACTCTCGCGTCTCTCGCTTTCTCTCCATAGTTTGACTTATTCCTTCTCACTACCTAAACCAGCCATGGACGCCAGGCCATCCAGAAGGGCCATGGCTCATGCTGCTGGCATCTTCGCAGACATGTCTGTCGACGGTCCTGCTATTGGGACACTAGTGATTATTGTTGATCGCGCCAAAAACCTGCCTAATCGGAAGACGATGGGCAAGCAAAACCCCTATTGTGCCGCTCGTTTGGGCAAAGAAGCCAAGAAGACAGAGACGGATCTTCGCGGTGGCCAAACTCCCCGATGGTAGGTTCTTCTTGTACACAACATCAAGTACGGTACTGAAAGCTGGCAGGGATCAGGAGCTTCGCTTCACCGTTCACGAGTCCCCGGACTACTTTAAGCTCAAGGTCTCCGTTTTCAACGACGACAAGAAGACCGATTTGATCGGCGAAACCTGGATCGATCTCAAAGATTTGATCATCCCTGGTGGAAGCCAGAACGACCACTGGCACCCTCTGCAGCATCGTGGAAAGTACGCAGGGGAAGTGCGTCTTGAGATGACTTATTATGACACACGGCCTGAGGATGAGGCTGTCATCGAACGCCGAACCATGGGGACTGAAAAGGTTCACACTAGGAAGAGTGTGCCCTCAGCACCACCCATCACTCTCACTGCGGCTTCGTCCTCTTCCTCGTCCGCTCTTTCGGGGCCTAGACAGTTGAAGGATGTCAAGAGACGCCCCCTGCCCAGTGATCCAACTAGAGCACGCCCTTCTCAGCCTGAGAAAGTGCCATCAGCTCCAATACCACATGCTCCTGTTCGACCAGCATATCATGAGCCCGCCCAGTCGGCGCCCGCCATGGCGAGCCATGAACGGCCAACGCACCTTCACGGTCACCCCGAATGGGTATATGAAGAAACCCCTCGACCAACATACTACGAGCCCCCTCACCTTCACAGTCATCAAGAATGGACCGATGACGGCCCACTCAACCAAATGCCCCAGAGGGAGAAGAACAACTATCCATTCTCTTCTTGTGAACAATATGTGAGCAATATGCCGCATACTCAGCCTAGCCCCTATGGGAGTCAAACGTCTTCGAGCACGACGAGCACCTCGGATGGTGGAAGTACGGTCTATCCCTGCTCTCACCACAGTCTTTACTCGAGCGAGCCAAGCACGGTATATCCTTATCCACACAACTACTCTGACAGCGGCTCTTATGTCAGCGGCAGCGAGTCCATCGATAGTGGCCCGTCGATGGTGTATTGCTCCAAGTCGATCAGCGAAGGGGGGCGTCCAATCCCTGATCTTGTGTGGGCAAGATTGCAGCCTCGGGTTGAGGATGAAAATGACGAGAACAATCTCCCACCGCCACCACCGGCCCATCGAGTTGCTTTGGTCCACGTCCGGAACATGAGGCCTCCCTCACTCGTCTCCACCGAATCTGCATCATCTGGACACTATCCTGTGTCTGATGGCCTTCCTTCTAATTACACCTCGGTCACAACTGCAGTTGACAGCAGCATGCCGAGTGTGCGTTCTTCCTTAAGTGGACCCTCAGTGCCACCCAGTCTTGTTGCTGGCCTCGACCCAGTCATTGCCGACGCAGAGTCGGATCGTGTCACTTATGAAAGGGAAGCACGACGCAGAAGTGGCATCATAGAAGAAAATGCGTTGAGGAAGCCCCCACGTGAATCTTCACCGAGCCCTCCTTACCCCGTGGATCCGTCCTTGGATAGTCACAGCTCTATTGTGACTCGATCGTCTGTCAGCTCCAACTCTGATAGACAATTGGTCCCCCGTCGCAAATCTGTCAGCCCTCGACCTCCAAGTATGAGGGAGCGCGGGGTGTCTCCCACTCCTTTCTCACCAGATTCCTACGATGCTTTGAACCCCAACGCATCCATGGGCCCAATAATTGGAGACGATGGTCGTGAAATTGACCCGTCTGATCACCTTCCTACGGACACCTGGGCGCCTGAGCCCGAACGCAAGACGAAGAAGCCTGGCGTCGTCGTGCGCTTTCGCAACCCTGCTCATCGGGCTAACCCCCTCGCACGACCAGCTACCGATGGCACCTTTGAACGTGCTGTTCATCGGGCCAACCCCCTCGCACGACCAACTACCGATGGCACCGTCGAACGTGGATTTGGCATTCGACGTCCGCCGGCATACACGGATGGAGCCCCCAACATGGGTCCACCTATTCCTTCGAAGGTCCCTATCGCACAGGCGATGAACCAGAGCTACCCTGTCCTTGGCGGCAGTATGGGCATGGACGCCCTTAGTCGAGAATTAAACACTATCGATATCGGATCTGTGGGTTGCAGCGGCGGCGGCCGCAGCTTGAAGAAGTACGCACCCAAGACTATGGGTTATGCAGTTTAGATAGATCTTTTCTTATTACAACTTGTTGATGTTAGTTAGTTGGTGAGTCAGTTTGTTACTTAGTTAGTCTCTTAGCTAGCTACCTGCGGGATACATCATTGGGGCATGTGTTTTATGGGATTCGGCTTGGGAACCGGGAACTGGGGACTCTGGATTTTGGAGTTAAGAGTTGTTTATCCTTTCTTTGTTTAGCATAGATTCATCTTTCCAATCAAGGAAATAGATTTGATACATTGGATTGTGCAGGTCCGGGCTTAAAGCGCTGGGTAGTGCGAATAATCTTGACTCCATGGACTTTCTGTAGTTGAAGTGTGAATGTTGGTAGTGAAGTAACAGGCTTACACACTCTAGTGGGTTGGGGTGAAGGAGATAATAACTCTGTGGGTGAATAGACTCGCCCTGACCTTCCCGAATGACACGACTGATCGATTCCATACCTTCCTATCCCGGCTGCCTCGTACCTACCCGGAGCGATCATCGTTCTTTACCCAGATGCTTCTCTGTCTTCCCTCCAAAGCTCCAAAATATCCACTCCCTACCACCCAGGAAGTGTAAATTGAACCACACATGATTACATGATTTTCATATTCTCTCTATTCCATTCAAGAACCGTCAACAGCGGATCCTATTGACAGTGGTCCCACTATGGTGTATCACGGGCAAGAGTATCAGCAAAGGCGGCCGACCGTTCGATACATTTGCGAAACGAGAGTCCAACAGATTCAAACAGAACGCGTGACTATTATCCACAGTACATTGAGAGAATACGCATACACCACCGTACCCTTTGGAAACTCCGCCTTTACAAGGCCTATTGGTACCAGACTACCGGACTACGCGCTCCACGATAAGCAGCCCCAACACTTGGAGTAAGTAGGCCCGAAGCTCTGGGGGATGGTAGGGGCAACTCTAACTACAGAGCCTCGATAGATATGAGAGACCTTTTGCCCTCCAAGGCACAGAGCAATTAGTCGAAAGGCAGATCATGAGAGACTCATAGCCTTGAGATTCGTCGATTGCTTTCACAAACTATAGGCTATCGGTCGATCCCGAATGGGTGTATGAGACTCCTCCTTATTCCCAAAAACACATAAGGCATCGCGAGTCGGTCCCGTCGGCTTTTGCTCACTGTCTGTCATTGTCGAGAACGTGCATGTATGATGAACCCAAGCTCGGCGCGGCCACCTAAGCGACACGATCAATAGCTGCGTGGCGGGTGGTGAGTAGCCTGGCTAGCCAGGCCGTAAGGCCCCTTTTATACTTTCAAGCTTAGCGCCTCGAAGTTGAGCCTGAGTATGTATATAAAATTCTTATAATAAATCAAGACCTAGTCCTTGGTCCTCTTATGCAAATGACCTTGATCTGCAGTAGCTAGCTGATGTGAGAAGCCTGCTTGTATCCTCGCGGCTAATCAACCTTTTGTTTATTAACTTGCCTAGGACAGGGCTTAAGCTGCAAGGAAGATTACGGTGGAGGAAAGGGTCCTTAGGCCTTGATTTACAAGTCTTCAAGATCCATTCCGGCGACGGGAGGCTATTTACGTGACCATCAACATGGGCGCGGCCACCACTCATGCCGCAAGAATCGGTCTCAGAAGACGGCAGTCTCAGGCAGGTACAATTGTGCCTTCCGTACCTCCCCATCCATCTTGATTTTCTTCAATTCTCCACAACACTAATAAGCAGCTTCAAAATCACCGATAGGCTATGGAATTCAACCTTTTAGGCTCTGGGACACCTGCCACTTTCTATTTCATTAATATTTTCAACTATCTTTCTTTAAGTATCCTGACATACACATGGTGATCTACAGTAGAACCGGAAAACATCCTTTTGGTCCTATTGTACTACGCTGTGATTGTCAGGTGAAAATTGCTGGGGATCGACGTCTGGATGTATCGCGACTCTAATTCCGACCGGTCTTGGTATGCGCGAAAGAGCGGTTACTATTTCCGCTGCTGCTTGGCCTGCGTTTGTTGTTGTTCATTAAGTTCATGAAGAATGTTTCCTCGCACCAGCGATACGTCAAGCTGCAGTCAGCCTGTACCTGACTACGCACGAAAAAGCGGTACCTCGAGGCCCCTGGGATTGCTGCTGCCCCGGTTCACATGTCATTCGCACGCTTCCGGTTTGCTTTTCGTGAGATGATCCACATTGAGGATGGAGACAGTACGAGAACTATAGGATCTCATGGTCGAGCAACCATTCGAGTCGAGGCGAGACTCTGCTGGCGGGCCAGGAGAGTAAATGGTCACCACACGTCTGGACAACACGTCTACGGCAATGAGCGACTTAACGAGATGGTCAGGGAAATGATCGATGTGTCGAGGAATCATGAGATCCCTAGCTTTGCGGACGATCAGCAAGGTAGGCAGGCGCCAGGTGACCAGTCGTGGACCCAGGCTGAGTGTCTCTCCATACATTTAATCCTTGCTGCATGCCGAAAACCAAGGTGACGGGGCGACTTCCCGCTCACATATACTTCAGAACTCCTTGCCAGCAATGCTTCCATCCCTTTCAAGTGCCACAGCCGCAGGGATGGGCCACGTCAGCACAAGGGATGGCGCCTTTCATAGGAGAGAAGGACTGTTGAGGGCACAGTACAAAACTCGAGAGCCTCTCGCGCTCATGGCCTTCTTTCACCACCTGTTCCTCACGCACAGGATTAACACACTTACTTGACTCCTTCTTGGCTGCAAGCAAAGAACGAACATCTAGATCCTCAGCAAAACCCTCTCGCATCCATTATGACACGCTCATCCCCAAAGTCCATCCTGCGTCGAGTGGCAGCTCACGAGGGTGCACCGAAGATCTTGCAGGTCCTGAAAGAGGATGGGGCGGTGATCATCCGGGGGTTTCTCAACCAGAATCTGTTCCAAAAGCTCAACAAGGAGATGGAAGATGAACTGGCGAAGCGGCCTCTGATCTGTGAGCACAACGGTGAATGGGTGTCGGGGTTGGCGGGGTCGCAAACGCGACGTTTGAATCAACTGCCCGCCTTCAGCCCAACCTTCCGCCAGGAGATCCTTAATCACCCCTTATTTCATGAGATCTGCGAGCCCCTGTTCGGGACCCATGGCTGTGACTATTGGATGAACACGGCAACGGTGGTGCAGATTGGGCCCGGTAACGCGGCGCAATCCCTCCATCGCGACCAGGAGCTGTATCCCGTCTTCAATCCCATCGGCAAGGATGCCCCCGAGGCGCTCGTCAACTTCTTCTGCGCGCTGAGCACCTTTACCGACGAGAATGGGGCGACGCGGGTTATCCCTGGTAGTCACCAGTGGGACGACTTCACCACCGATGTGACCCGCTGCGTACCGCAGACCATTCCGGCGGAGATGGAGGCCGGGGACTGCCTGCTCTTCAGCGGGAAGACTGTACACGGTGGAGGAGCCAATCGCTCTAAGGACAACGTTCGCCGGGGGATGGCGCTCGGCGTTCAGGCAACGTATCTCACCGCGGAGGAAAACTACCAGCATATTCCCCGGGAAATCGTCGAGTCCATGACCCCACTAGCTCAGAAAATGATCCACTGGCGCTCCTCCTATTGTCCCGGGGGCGCCGGGCTCTGGCAGATCAATGGCACGGAATTGGCCAACGAGATCGGGCTGAAGGCCAATCAGCCGAAGAAAACCATCTAAGCTTTCGTTTAACCGGCAGCCGGCAAGTGGATGGTACTCGATGCAAGTCAGTACATGGGCGTGGGCTTGAAGTACCGTTATATATGGGTTCGTTTGGAGGGATTCGGAGTTGTATTATGTCGTTCAGACACAAACGTCAGAGGAGTTTCAACGTAGAACACCCTGATAAGCAGATAGAACGGGAATTTGTGCTTCCTCTGTTTTCTTCTCTTTCCTCTTTCCTCTTTGTTATCTAGATTGATTGTTATGGTCTAGTTCGACGGCTCGCATTGAACGACCGGGTCATTCTCCCATATGGAAAACTTTTATCCACGGGTGTACGAATACCTGGTCATACATGCTTGGACCCAGATCATGAGCTGATCAAAGGATAAATGAATGCTTAACCTCGGTGATGATTATGTATGGCCGGTAAAAGGAATTTGTGTATCCAATGACAGAGTTGCGACATGGTCTCTGCTTGAAGGCATCTCGTTCAAACGCTCGTCAGATACTCGGCGACGGAGACATCCCGTGCACTGTTTCCGAGTTGCTTTTCCTGCCAGGGTCTAACTGGCGGTCAAAGATCGAGCCAAAACTCAACTCGGAGGATTCCTGAGCACGTAAGGGGCTTCTACCACCGTACACCGACTTTCACCGGGCTTGCACAGATGTGCAACTGTATTGCAACGAGATGGAGCATAAGCCGCATGACTCGGGCCTTATGTAGTGAATTAGGAATATAAAGGGGCTCTCCGAGAGCTCATCAATGTATTCAGAACCGACCCATCCTCGTCAAGGCTTTGCGGTCGGTGGCCCGATAGTTAACAGCTTGCCTCTCCAATCACTTTCCAGCCCCGACGATGACTCTGGACGACAATCCTGTCCCACCGACGTTGCCCTACACCCTTCACGGCGTCTTCCAGCAGAATGTCCTGGACCGACCCGATGCCTCAGCTGTCTGCGCCTGGGATGGCGACCTGACTTATCGGGAACTGGACGAGAAGTCCTCGACCCTAGCCCACATCCTCCGTCACCGGGGAGTTCAAGATGGGGCGCTCGTGGCGCTATGTTTTGATCATTCGCTCTGGACGGCGGTGGCCATGATGGCCGTCTCCAAGGCCGGGGGGGTATGGTTCTTTCTCGAGCCCAAGCATCCCGTCAATCGACTGCGCCAGATGTGCCGCAGCGTGCAGGCGCGCATGGTCCTATGCAGCAGATCGCAGGCGAGTGTGGCGGCTGAATTGAGCGACGACCAAATGGAGGCACCGCTCAGCATCGAGGAGGCGGTCCTGCGTGAGGAGGATCCTGGTCCGATGGACCTCGAGGTCGTCAGCCCGGAGCGCCCCGCGTATGTGGCCTTCACCTCAGGCTCGACCGGCAGCCCCAAGGGCGCTGTCATGACGCACCAGGCGGCGGTGACCGGCGTGTTGCACAATGCGAAGCCCATGCAGCTCGACCGGACCGCTCGGATTCTGCAATTCGCCTCGTTCGCCTTTGATATCAGTTTCCTCGAACACTTTTGGGCGCTGCTCTTGGGAGGATGTCTCTGTATCCCTGCCCCGCTGGACCGCCAGAACAACACCATCCACGCGGTCCAGAGCCTGCAGGTCAATTGGATGTTCCTCACGCCCACCGTGGCGCGGCTCCTGGAGCCGCCGCAGCTGCCATCTCTGCGGACGCTCGTGCTGGGCGGAGAGCCGGTCACCCAGGCAGACCTGGATATGTGGCTGCCCTACGTGCACCTGGCGGGACTGTACGGGCCAGCGGAGTGCGCCGTCGGGATCGCCGTCCAGCCGGACTATAGCCGGGTGGAGTCGGCCAACAATGTCGGGCCGCCCTTCTCGGTCGCTTGCTGGATCGTCAGCGAGCAAGACCCGACGCAATTGGCTCCGCGCGGCGCGGTAGGTGAGTTGGTGGTGGAAGGCCCCTCCATCAGTGAGGGCTACATCAACGCCCCGGAGCAGACGACGAGGGCCTATCTGACCAACCCCACGTGGCTGCCCGCCGCTCGCCACTCCACCAAAAAGCTCTACCGGACGGGGGACTTGGCGCGTGTCCTGGACGATGGCTCCTTGCTCTTTCACGGCCGGAAGGATACCCAGGTCAAGATCAACGGGCAGCGCATCGAGCTGGGGGAAATCGAGTATCACACCCGAGCCGTTCTCGGCAAGGAACACTTGCGGTCCCCCCCGGTGGTGGCCGAAGCCATGGAGGTGAGAGGGCGCGCCCTCACGGTGATTGCCTTCTACCAGGTGGAAGGGGTGTGCCAGGACCTCGACCACGACGGCCAGGACCTCTTCCTGCCACCCGACGATGGGTTCGTCGGCCGGAAGCAGAGCTATCAGTCGCAGCTCCGGGATCATCTGCCCGAATACATGATCCCCACCAGTTTCATCCCCGTGCGGGGGTTGCCCCTCACCATGTCGGGGAAGACGGACCGCAAAACGCTGCGGGAGAAGTTTGCCCAGCTGCCCTCGGACCGGATCAAGGCATACTTTGTCGACGGAGACGGGGGTAGCAGGAGCACGGAGGGGATGCCGACCACGCCTCTCGAGCGGCAGATGCAGGAGCTGTGGGCGGCCACGCTGAAGCTCGAGCTGGAGGAGGTCGGACGGAATGATCCCTGGATGTCGCTCGGGGGCGAGTCCCTCGCAGCGATGCGGTTGGTCGCGCGCGCGCGCAAGGAGGGTATTGCCGTCACGGTGCCCGACATCTTCCGCCACAAGACCATCGCGACTTTGTGTCAACATGTGTCGGTCCGCCCGGGCCCGGAGACCATCGAGAGCTTTCCGCCATTCTCGTTGGTGCAGTGCCAGCAGGGCTCGACGGGGATCGAGGAGCTTCGGCATGCTGCCGCCCAACAATGCGGGCTCACCCCCGAGGCGATCGAGGACCTCTACCCATTCACCGCGATGCAAGAGGCAGTGGTCATCCCCCCCGCAACCATTGGCGTCAACTACACCCTCCGCCTCGACGTCAAGCTGCCCGCCGAGCTGGACCTGGAGCAGCTGATGCGGGCCTGGGACATGGTCGTGGCCGCCAACTCAGTCCTCCGCATGCGCGTCGTGCGACTACCCGCCGATGAGAGTGAGACAATGGTCCTGGCTGTGACCCGCCCAGAGATCCCCATGGAGCCGCTCTTCGCCGAGCGATTTGCCCCCGGGGTCGATTTATGGGGACTGGGGAAGCCGCTGGTCCGCGTGGGGGTGGCGCCAGGGCGGCTGGTGATGTTGATCCAGCATGCGCTCTACGATGGTCACTCGCTCGGGCTCATCTTCCGCGACCTCGAACAGGCATACCGGGGCCAGCCGGTGGCGGCTGTCTCATATAGTCCGTTTGTGCACTGGTCGACCGAATGGCAAGACGGCTCCAACAAGCAACAATACTGGCGAGAGAAATTCGCCGGGTTCGACGGCCGCGTGTGTCCGCCGCGCGTCGCCGACGCCGGCATCGGCTGCATGGAGAGCCAGCATTTCTGGGGCTCGCTGAATTTCCGGCCGGATGGTTTCACGGTAACCAGCAAGATTCGGGTGGCACTGGCTGTGGTCCTCTCCTGGCATTTCGACACCTGTGACATCGTGCTCGGGGGGATCTACGCCCGTCGTGGGGCCCCCATCCCGGGCATCATGGAGTCCCCCGTGCCAGCCTCCGCCATCCTGCCCGATCGAATCCGCCTGGATCCCACGCAGTCGCTGCGGGCCAACGTCGACCAGGATCAAGAGAACATTCTGACCATGATGCCATACGAGGGGATCCGGCCGAGTCAGGTCCTGGACCTGAGCGAGGCGGCTCGCGCGGCAAGTCAGTTCCAAACCATCCTGGCGGTGCAGCAGGACAACTCCTCGGTCTATCCGGAGATGTTTCGTGACCACGAAATGGGCTACTACGGCCCCGTCACCGCGCACAACCTCATGATGCAGTGCTTTCTGAGCCCGGACCGCGCATCGGCCCGGGTCTCTCTCCGGCTAAGTGAGCGAACGATGCAGGAGACCACGGCCTGGGACCGCTTCTTGGCCCACTTCGAAGCTGTCGTGGATGCTATCCAGGAGAAACCTGAGATACCAGTAGACAGGCTGCGCCAGCACCTGGGGGCGTAGTTGCTGTATCGGATAGAGTCTCGCTTGTTGTTTCCATCCTGCCTTATTCCTTGTGTTGTTGCGCTTTTTGGGATTTAAGGGTGCCTTGGCGTAATGATTGATGATGTCCTTTTCAGCCTTGGGTTGCTGCTCGCTCATATCGGAATTCTCTGGACAGCAATTCCTAGTAATCTGAAATTTTATTTGTGCCTCGCATCCTTTCTCACTCATGAAATATACATCTGCTCCTAAATATATAGACGTGAACGAGAGAGCCTTGGGCTCCCGACGCAACCAGTAGTACTGGGTCTTCTGGGCAATAGCCTTTTTTTTTTGACGCGTTAGGGCAAGGTAGTGGATGGGCCGCGGTAACAGTGCCACGATGGCGAAAGAGTCTTACCGCGGGGCAGTACGCGGGATCTGAGACAAAGGCAGTCACTGGGAAAAGAGAGAAATAGACATATAACGAATCCGTAATGGATAATCAGAAAAGCTTGATATGTGGCGAGTTCAGCCTGTACCTGATAATCTCATCGAAACAGCCGTATAGGGTGATCTGAACCCTAGCACACCCAGTAATTGAGATATATGACCCCTGATCCTAAAGCAGCAAACCATTTATCTCTCTGACCACCACCCAAATGGCACGCGATGAACAGTACTAGGTTCAGGTATTGTCATTCGGACTGGTTGAAGGCAACTTGCCAGCCCGAGTTCCTACGAAGGGCGCCCCACCAATAATGCTATTGCCATGCTGGTAGCCTACATCCCCTGGGACCCTGGGGGGACGTCTACGTTTCTGCCCCGTGCGCCTGGTTTACATACTTCCCCTCACTTTTTAGGCGGGTGTTCGCAATATGATTGAATACCATTAGCTGGAGTTCCAGTTGACCTTGATTTCAGCTCAAAACATGAAGAGAGGATTCTTGGGGTTGTTTTTCAAAAAGCATCTGCTGAGTGGCGCAGTCGAATAAAAGTTCGTTTCATCATTTGTATAATCTATCTATGCGGAGAGAAGCCTGAATCTATCGCTGTCAGTCAGTGAAACAGCCCTTCTCTCTGCGTCTCCAAGCAGGAGCTGGCAACCGCCCGTCGCTCATTGCACATAATTCTTCAAGAGGCAGTCTTCTGGGGGCGGGCCGATCAGCTTCCCACTGAGCCGGGCGTACCGATAGGTGCTCATGGAATACATATAATTGCCGGCGAAGCTCTCAATCAGCCGCTGGAGATAGACCTTCTGTGTGTGGGTCAACTCGGGCAGTTGCATGAGCCGAACATATTCCTCGCGGACTTGGCGCTCACAGTCCCACAAGACGGATCGGAGGATTGCCTTGGCGGAGCCGGGGGGCACGGAGAGGACCTGCTCGATCATGTGTACCGAGTTGTGCAGCGGGGCGCCCTCTTGCTGGTGCTCGCGGAATTCCTTCTCGTAGCTGTAGAGGTCGTTAATGTAGAGGCAGTGGCGAATGTAGAGCTTCTCGATCCACTCAAAGACGGGCCGCTCGGCAGGGTCGTAGAGGATGGCAGCCCCAAAGCGAACCGCCGTAATCATAAAGCTATAATCAAGAAAAAGAGAAGTGAGCAAAGAGGATTCCAGACGAGTCAGCTTCCCTGAGCGTTGGAAAGGCAGGGGATGGGGGGGGGGGCGGGGGTTGTCCCTACTCGTAGGCAATGTCCAGCTCCCGAAAGTCCCGGAAGTCTTGCCACGTCGCATGGGTCTTGTCAGCCTTGGTGCTGTTGACCCGAGAGTAACGCGCCCAGCGAACGGTGTCCTGCATCAACTCCAGTCCGAGGACTGGGTCGAGCGCGATGGCCTCCCGGCAGAAATCGAGGAAGATGTCATTGCGCGACTCGCCCTCCAGCTCGTTCGCCTTGAAGGTATCCGTGTCCCACCCCTCAAGGATGGAGTTGCCCTCGGCGTTGGCCTTCGATTCCATGACATCTGCAACCACCATTCATCTCAGTTATCAAGGGACATTTTGAGCAGAGGAATCCGGAGAACACAGGCTCTTACCATCGTGCAGGAACAGAAACACAATCGACTTGGTGAGGACGCGGATCCGCGCCGCATCCGACACGGCATACAGATAGATGCAGATGGTCACGGCCGTCTCGACCAGTTCCATCATCTTCCGGCGCTGGTCGCTGGTCTTGAGCTTCTCTGGGATCACAGCGCCTGCGCCCCGCGCCGCCATGACTTGCTCGATAAGTTCCAGCCCAGCCGCCTCGGCCTCGCGCCAGTGGATACACTGCGGAGTCCCCTTCATCGTGGAGAACCACGGCAGGCCCACTGCAACCGGGTCAATCAGAATGGTATTCTCGGGCGGGACCAGCGTCTTCTGAGGGTCGAGGAAGTCGAAGGGATCGTGTTCCAAGACGGGAATCTCGCACTTCTCCTCCATCACGTCGTACGCATAGATGATATGCCGGTAGTGCGTTGGTTTGTATGGGGCTGGTTGCGGGGCGGGCTCCAGGGGCTTCTTAGAGCTACCGGGTCGTTTCACCGCAACGGATGCAGAAGCGCTTGTGATGCCCCTTAGCCATGCAGGTAGTCGGACATGAAGCTCCACCAGCCAGAAACGAGCAACGAGGTCGGGCGTCATAGCTAGAGACACTCTGAGGAACTGCAAACACACTGAAAAGTTTGCCTACTTCTCGTATCCCCTTCCACGCTCCGAAAGCAAGTTCGATGGCAGCGAAGCTGAATATAAAGATTGAGGCCTTGTAGACGTGCGACAAAGGGAGACGGACGTGGGAGGAGAGAAAAAGGAAAGATAGAGAGAACGCCCGGAGGAGATAGATGATTTTTAAATCCCTTGTGAGTAAGACATCTGTGCCCAGTATCGCGGAACGTGATCCCGTCGCCTGCAACCCCGTGGGCCTCGCGTTGCTGATCGCACCAGGATAGGATGACGACATCTCTTTCCTGGCAAGATCGAGGCAGGAGTGGAATCAAGGGGAAGGTTGGGCGTTCGCCACGGTCTGGCTGGTGTGTGCATTGTGGTATAAGGGATCGACCGTAGGCAAGGAGGAATCATTCCTTGACATCAGATGCAAGGGAGTGTGGCACAGCTCTCGGTGTACTATGTAAGCCGGAGAGATAAGGGCAAGAAGAGAGGCGGACGGAGGGTCTCTTCGATATTAGCTTATCTCTCTGGTGCTCGCATTCGCCCCTAACCTATATGTTGTTCTGCTTCCTTCGTTTCCCATCACAAGAGTACTCAGAGCATTCCAGCGGCGTTCCCCCGGGCACACGACACTCTAACACCATCTCCTCCACCGTCGAGAATGATGAGCGCCGCCATATGCACTCTTCTGGCCGTTATCGCTACCACTAGCTTAGGCCTATTGTTTCTCTCCATCATCCGGCGTGGCAAGCTTCCTCCAGGGCCTCCACCTAAGCCCATTGTGGGCAACCTCCACCAATTCCCGAAAGTCAATCGCGCGCAGGTCTTTGATCAATGGCATCGGACGTACGGCCCGATTGTGGGATTGCGACTGGGGCTGAAGAAGCTCATTCTCGTCGGAAGCTATCAGGTAGCCCGCGAGTTGCTTGACCGGCGAGGAGCTATCTACAGCTCACGCCCGCGGGTGGTGATGGCTGGCGAGATCGCGAATCGCGGCAATCACACGGCGCTGATGCCCTACGGCCCCAAGTGGAAGCTCCACAATCGTGTACACAGCGCCCTGATGAATCCAACCATGGTCAAGCGGTATCAGTACCTCCAGGACATTGAGAGCCGGCAGCTTGTCCACGACCTGCTCCAGGGCTCGACCTCGGACTTTGGCGCCCGCATACACCGCTACTCCAGCAGCCTGCTCTTCGCCTTGGCCTACGGCCGGCGGCTGCCCACCAGCGATGCCTTCGAGATCCAAGAGAACGCGCACATCGCCCATCAGTTCATCAACAACCTCGCGGCGGGTCGCTGGCTGGTCGATGCCTTCCCCGTGCTCAACTATCTCCCCACCTGGCTCGCCCCCTGGAAGAAGATTGGCGAACAGCTGTACCAGCGCAAGTTCGGCCTCCTGCAGCGCCACACCGCGCTCGCCTTGGAGAAGCCTGTCTGGAACTGGACAAAGCACTTCCATGGGCCCAAGAAGCCGGCTGAAGCGAGCTGGGAGGAGCTGCTGAACATCATCGGGGTACTCTACGAGGCGGGCGCGGATACCACCACCTCGGCCCTGGAGGCTTTTGTCATGGCTGCCGTGCTACACCCGGACGCTGTCCGCCGCGTGCAGGCGGAGATCGACGCTCTCGTTGGCGGCGCGGCGCGCATGCCCTCCTTCGAGGACGTGCAGCAGCTCCCTTTCGTGGACGCCTTCGTCAATGAGACGATGCGGTGGCGGCCCATTGCGCCCGAGGGGGTGCCCCACAGCCTCATGAAGGAGGACGAATACGAGGGGTTCACCATCCCCAAGAACTCCATCGTGATCGCGAACCAGTGGCACATGGCCATGGATCCCGCCACCTTCACTGACCCGCAGGCCTTCCGGCCGGAGCGCTGGCTCGAGGATCCCAAGTTGCCCATCAGTGCTTTTGGCTTCGGGCGCCGCGCGTGTCCCGGCCGCCACATCGCCCTGAACTCCATGAAGATCGTGATGTGTCGCCTGCTGTGGGCGTATGACTTTGACCATGCCTACGAGAATGGGCGGAAGGTCACCATCGACCCTGACAATTTCGTTCGCGAGGGAGTCCTCTCCAAACCAGCCCCGTTCAAAGCCGCCCTGCGCGTTAGAAGCCCCGCGCATGAGAAGACCATTCAATCGGCTCTCCGGGAGAGCGAGCAGGACGAGGATAAAATCTTGGCGCATATTGCTGCGGGCCTTGCTTAGAGCTGGGCTGGAGGTCAAAACTGGAAAGAGAAGGGGCTGAGTACAGAGTAAGAGTAAGGGGGGAGGGAAATAAAGTTACTGGAGGAATTGAGGTACAAGAATGATTCCATAGAGTAGGGAAGATAGAGTGGAAACCCTAATGGAATAACTATCGCTGCTTACACCGCCACCCTTTCCTCTGCCTTTCCCCCTTCCCTCCGCGGAGCAAGCTTTCGATCATATATGTCACTTTATGCGACCAGGTGGATACTGTCTGCATGACGTATCGGAATGTCGGAATATGATTCCACCGCTAAAACTTCTGTGGTCACAATATAGTTTGCGATCCTGGCAAAAGCAAGGTACGGAGACCGTACAGATCCTCTCCCCTTGGGACTGGGTGACGATCATGCCACCCCCAGGGATATCTATGCCAAACCCGAAAAATGATTGCGAAATCACGCAAGGAACTTTCAGAGGCAGCCAACCAGTCAATCTGGCCCGGGTAATATTCCCGCAAACCTGCCGGTGTGGTCGATCACTCAGGCCTTGCATCTTAGGAATGCCGGGCGATGACGCTGGGAACATTCTTCATCCTTGCTTGACATACTTGTCCCGCACATGACAGGCAAGGGGAATTCTGTCGAACGCCTGCAGTCGACATGCATTGCCAAGTAGCCTGGGTCTTGCAGCTCAGACTGGCGGTCAGTATGTCTCACACTCTAAACTCATCACACCACAAAACGGAGGGAAAAGAGGTAGTTGTCTCCGTTTCCTCCGTTCATGCGCGCCCAATTGCCCCCCACGAAGTCCGCTTCCCAACTACAATCGGCAGCTCAGGAATACAGTCTGCCTAACCCACTTGCACACACATACGACACACTGAATCCTCATAATGACCAAAGATAACGAAGAGAAAACTTACAGCGAGGTCGAATTCCTCACGGTCGATGGGCTCAAGCTGCGAGGGCGGTTGTACTTGGGCGAAGCCAATGGCCCGGCGTTGGTGATGGCTCACGGGGTGCGTCTCGCCCCTTCTTCATTTCTGATATCTTCTCGTCTCCGATGGACTACTGACGAATGTCGACTGCCCTAGTTTAACGCGGTGAAGGAAATAGTCATCCCGTGGGCGGCGGAGGTCTTCCAAAAGAATGGCATCAGCGTGCTCCTGTTCGACCCACGCAACTATGGCGAGAGCGAGGGGATGCCACGGCAAGAGGTGGACCCGGAGAAGCAAATCGAGGATTACTTCGACGCGGTGACCTTTCTGCGGCAGCAGCCCGGCATCGACCCGGAGGCGATCGGGCTCTGGGGGGTGTCGACCAGCGGGGCCACGGCCATCGGGGCCGCCTGCTTTGACAAGCGGGTGCGGCTCATCATCTCCGTGTGCCCGCTCATCGAGGCGACCTTTCGGGAGGAGATGGTGCCGGACGTGATGGCGCAGATCATTCGCGAGCGCGAGGCCCTCGTCGCGGCGCGCACCGCCGGCCAGCAGTCGCCCCAGCCGACTCTGGTGCCGATGATCAACCAGGTCGGCGTCAGCCCGATGGGGTTCAACGCGATCCACGGCAAGAACTTCTACGAGGAGATGCCGTGGTTCAAGGAGACGGCCCCCAACTTCCGGCCGCACACCACCACCCTCACCTACTACAAGATGCTGCGCTGGCACCCCCTCAGCAACATCCGCTGCCTCAGCCCCACCCCCATCCAGATGCTGATCCCCGGCAAGGATGATGTCTGCCCGACTCAGGAGCAGCTGGACTTCTTCGAGGCCCTGCCGGGTCCCAAGCGGATGGAGTATTACGAGGATCGCAACCATCATGGCCTGTTGCTGGGCTCTGCTTTTGAGGGCGTCATGGAGGCTCAGGTGCGCTTTGTGCAGGATGTGCTGGCCGGGAAATTCGCGCTGAAGAGCGGAAGCCAGTAATGTTTGTGATTGTGTGTGTGTGTGTCTAACTCGCACATGTAGCGAGATCGATGAGTTCTAAATTGCAAATCTAAGACAGTCGATTCGTCAAGTCAGCACCGCAACAAGGGCATAGATCTCAGTTCGCGTAGTTTGTAGGTATCCCGCGGAGATTAGTTGGGCTGGTAAGCGAGCGAGCAGAGCTCTCCCAAAGAATGAATGGGCTGTCCATCCAACCTACAGGGCCATGGCGCGTAAGTCTTGGAATTTGTGACTTGAGCCAAGATGGTGGATTTCAGCTATCGAGAAGGAACCTTTTATTACGCAGACATGTACAAGTACGTCGTAGAGTGACGCCCATCGTTTGAGGATCTCATGTCATTCGGTTAAGAAAAGTCGTGGTGTGGAGCCAGGGCATCAAGGGCCGGCCGAAACCTGCTCGTCATTTGAGGACTAAATCACTACAATTATCTATCGCGCACTTTGTAACGGTCTTCCTCCTCCAACCCAGGCCGACCGTTCATGTGGTCCAATGGTCTGCGAGGATCTCCACCACCACCTGCGACTTCATTTCAATCAAGGCATGGTCGAGGTAGCGAAGCTTGTGGTCTGTCGGGCTGACCAGCCGAAGATCCCACCGGCAAAACATGGTCGAGAGCATCGTGTACATTTTGAGGTAGGCCAGGCTTGAGGCCAGTCAGCATAACAATTCAGGGACAAAATCCGGTGCCGGAGGGGTTAACGCATCGCAAGGAGAAACCTACTTTGTGCCGAGACAACTCCGACTGCCTTTGCCAAAGGCAATCATATTTCGGTCCATGCTCTTTGCATTCTCGCCCATCCAGCGCTCTGGCAGGAACTTCTCAGGTTCCGGGTATATCTTTGGGTCGTCCATGATGCACCGAGAGCTGATCGAGATGATAGTCTGGACAGAAAAACGCATGAGCCACGGAACTGCACGTTAGGGTTTACAACCATCAACAGGTCAACGGAAAATACGTACCCCGCCTGGAACAAACTTGTTGTCAAGCTTCATGCCTTCTGGGGGTACCACGCGAGGCAAGCGTCCCGGAAAGGGGCTCGACATTCGCAGCGCCTCCTTGATCACCGCGGACAGGTACGGCAGCTTCCGGACCTCTCGGTAATTGTACTGATCTCTGATAATGGCGGAGGCTCCACGTAGTTCTTCGCAGAGGCGCTCCCGGACTGCGGGGTTGTTGAGAATGTGAAAGACTGCAAACGTCGTTGCCATACTCGTCGTATCCGTGCCGGCAATCGCGAAAAGGAAGGCTTGATCGATCAGCTCACTCTTGCTCGGGACTTTGTAGTTCTTGTCTGGGTTATCGTCCATGAGCACATCGAACAAGGTAGGGCGGCCGTTCCTCATCAGAGTGATCCCCTTTGCCCGGCGGGCGCGCACCTTGTCGATCCATGAAATGCATTGCTGTAGGGTCAGAGTCAGTGGGAAGGGACCCTCGAACAAGTCCCCGGGGGCTGGGTTATCGAACCTCTCGGAAGTAGGCATAGCCCGGCACGATTTTATCGGTGAGGCTGTTGGGAAGCATCAACGCAAACTGGGCAATCCAGGGGGCGTGCACCACTATACGGATTCGAGTCAGCCACGACCATGCCAATCAGAGCAGCTCGAAAGGCTGAGCCGCGAGGAAACCCTACTGATCCACACGTTTTCGACAAAGGTGTCCAGGTTGCCCAGAAAGCGATCCGAGTGATACCCATTGCTGACCAGGTCCAGCGTCTCGCCGAAAATGAGGTTGCAACTGACGTCTGTCTGCGCACCACACCAACCTCCGAATCAGTATCTTCGGTCCCAATTGCTCGGTAGCTCGATCCATGCGCACTCACCGTGATACACCGCAGGAACTGCATGACGTTGAACTTGTTCCCTGTTCCGGTCGACCGGGCCGCCAGGAGGTCGGTTGCCTTGCGAACCATATCGTACATCTCGTCGGACATGCCATCCACCGCCGTTCCAGTGAACATGGGCGCCACGGTCGTCCGCAGCGGCTTGTGTCGATGGGGATTGGTGATGGTGGCGATGGAGGTGGCAAAGCCGAAGGCCTCGTAGAAATACGGTGCCTTGTAGAAGTTGGTGTTGACCTTGAATACTCTGCCATCATCAAGGGTCAGCTCCCGCGCCGTGATCAGATACGGAAGAAGAGAACCGCGGCGTGGGTGCTAACATACTGATGATAAACCTCGACATCATTGACGTGCAGGTGATTTGGCGCGATACGGACTACCGGGGACTCTATACTTGTTCATCAGCCGCCGGTTGCGGTCTCGGACTCCAGCATCCAACAAGTGCTTACTGTAACTTCTGTGTAGATCAGCTACTCCTTCGAGGAAGGTCCCGTTCTTTACCCAGTCGTGCCAGAACTCCCATAGATGCGAAACGGCGGCAATCGAAGGCCCGGGAAATTTGCTGAGTGGATGCAAGAATACGCGTTGCAAGTATTTGGTCAGCAAGACTACCAGCACCAAGCCAGCAATCATCGAGCCAAGATGGGAAGATGCCAGAGATATCCTCCCCCCCAGCAAGCCGGAATGGCTAAGGTCGATAGGCGGCAACACCATATTGTTTGAGCCCCAGGTCCGCAGATTGGCGTTCTGAATCGATCAACATGGTGGAGGGGCACCCGGGGTTCCGACTTACGCCTAATATATGTGGACCGCTGTATCATACATCAGCGGGTCTTCGCGCTTGTCCCTTCATTGCTCTTCCCATTTCTCGGCACCTTGCGTCCGGGGACGTATGTATTTGCACTGCCTGAAAGTCGAAACTGCGGTGAGAGCGAGACATGCCCAAGCAGCTGCAAGGGTTGCTTGATACCTTCTACACTCGAACCTTACCCCCTTCACACCCCCTTGCATTGCGGACGATTCCTGAGGGTATAACTCTGGCTTTCGTGCTTATGCATGCCTATGCATGGCTTTGAGGCACAACTGGCTCCTTACCGGGGGTGGTCGTATCGATGACGATTGAGAAGCAAGGCCCGGCATCCGTACTATATATAAGCGACGGGTTATCGTCCGATTTTGTCAGATCATCCCTGTCATCCCAGGAGCCCCCGAATTGTACTCCTCCCCCCTCTTCTCCGTCTGCACGCCATGAACGCAACCGCGCAGGCCCTTGTCCTTCCCTTCATCACCCAAGTTACGCGCGCTGTTTCTCTTTCGGAGAACGTGAAGGTGCTGGGTGGGATCCCCTTTGCGGAAGATGGAACCTATCTCGAGTGGTTAAGTATCTTGGGTTTCACCATCGGTTGTGTACGAGGCTGGTCCCTTTCGTGAAAGCCCCAAATTTCCACTGGGCATTGCTGACTCGTTGCCCGCACATCATCTCAGTACTATGTGATCTATACCTTCTACGCCTTGTGCTTCCATCCACTGCGCAAGTACCCTGGACCATGGCATCTCGCGGTCAGCAACATCCCCAACCGATGGTCGACGATCTCCGGCAATTCGTCTTATTGGTTATACGACCTCCACGAGAAGTACGGCCCCATTGTGCGCGTGGCTCCCAATGAAATCAGCTATTCCGACCCCCAGGCGTGGCAGGACATCTATGGCCCGCAGCCCAACCAACGGCTGGGGATGCCCAAAGACCCCAAGTTCTTCAGCTCCTTTGAGGACAAGAAGACGGCCGCCTCGATCATCACCTCCCAGCCCAAGGACTATATGCGCATGCGCCACATCTACTCGTACGGGTTCTCGAAGCAGGTGATGCTCGCCAAGGAGGAGATGATCCAGGGGATCATTGACCGGGCGATGGAGGCACTGCGCCAGACCAAGCAGCAACCCCAGGACATCGTGCAGATCTTCCGGGCCACCGACTTTAGCATCGTGACGGAAATCGTCTTCGGCAAGGCGTACCATATCTTCGACCGGCCTACCTACCAGCCCTGGTTCAAGAGCCTCATGGGTTGGATCCGGTCGACCGCCGTCATCACCGCGACCACCGACTACCCTCTGGGCAAGCTGGCGGCCTGGCTCTTGACCCCGCGCAGCGTCCTCAAGCAGCGCAACGTCTACCTGAAGTATGTGAACGGGGAGATCGAGGAACGCATCGGCGAGTCGAACGCGGGGCGGAAGGACGTCGTGCAGCTCATGTTCGAGACGACGGATCAACCCAAGCTGGCCGAGTCGGACATTCGCGCCAACCTGCCGTTCATGGTGATTGCCGCCAGTGAGACCACGACGACCCTGATGAGTGGCATGATCGCCCATCTTCTCAACTCCCCGGACGCCCTGTCGCAGCTTACGGCGGAGGTCCGCGGCCGGTTTCGCTCCCCCAGCGACATCACCATCGCCACCGTCAACAACCTGCCCTTCTTGAATGCCTGCGTCAACGAGGCCCTGCGCGTCTACCCCGCCGCGCCCACTCAGTTACCCCGCGTCGTGCCGGGCGAGGGCGCAACGGTCTGTAACCGCTGGGTGCCGGGGGGCACCAAGGTCTACGTCGCCCCGTACGCCACCTTCCGCTCCGCCGAGAACTTCTACCAGCCCGATGCTTTCCTTCCGCAACGCTGGCTCCCCGAGAACGGAGAGTCCTTTGATGTCGATAAGAAAAACGCCTGGCGACCCTTTGGGCTGGGCGCGCACGAATGTCCCGGTCAAGTGTAAGTGGTCGAGTTTCCCTGCCCTCCCTTGCTCTGATATGGTTAGCTTTCCAGTTGTCTAAACCAATATTCTAAACCAGGATCACCAACCTCATTACACGGCTTATCATGTGCAAACTGCTCCTCAGCTTCGATCTGGAGCTGTGTGCGGACAGCCAAGACTGGCTGTCTCGCCAGCCAGTGTGGATTGTATGGGACAAGCCCGAGCTGCTGATCAAAGCCCGGCCCGCCGCCGCGTGAAGGCGGGAGCTTTAGGGCTCCTGTGTGCACAGCACCCAAAGGCACCCGCCCGTATAAGACAACACGCGGACGGGGACAACGCCAGTGCTGGAGGCCGAGGTACTAGACTTCAGATAACTTCAAATAGAATCTACTTACTCATATCGTGCCTCGCAGAGAGTATACTGACCACATCACGTCACGGAACACCCGCGGAAACTCCGAAGTATTATTATAACCGTTCTACATAGAAAACCTGCACGGGATGAAATAGACACAATAGACAAAAGACCAAGGAGGAAAAATAAACCCAAGCCCTCAACAGTAGGTATAGTCAAGACACGCCGCCCTTCAAAATCAATCAATCCGGTCCTCTTTCAGGGCGAACAAGGCGGGCATCACCTCGGAGGCCTTGGTCTCCACCGCGTCGTGGTACCAGGTGTTGTTGACGACTTGCTGCAGATTCTTGACCTTGGAAGCAGTGTGGCATCCCAGATCGTAACTGACGTACATGTCCTCCACCGCGGTGGCCACGTAGACAGGGACCTCGTTCCGGGCGAGTTGCGCCTCGTTGTAGAGTTGCCCCCAGTCGCTGCTGCGGGCCAGCAGCTCGGCGACCGGCTTGAGGTCTTTCAGCTCATCGTAGGACTCGAACATGTCGGAGAAGATGGCCTCCCCGGTGAACCAGATCTGGGCGTTGCGTTCGTTGAGGCTGAAGCGAGGGTCGGCCTTGCGGCATTTGTCCGCACACCAGCCGCCGGCTTTGCTACATGCACAAAAAAAAGACAGTTAAGGGCTAGCTCCAGACATCTCAACGGGGCCAAATCATCTTACCCTTGGCAATACATTGGTTCCTGGAGGAGACTGTAGATGACGTTGTGCGCCATTCCGGAGTTCTCAATCAGGTCCAGGGTGGGGGCTGTCAGAAACTTGAACATGTCCAGGTCGTTGTCAGTCCGCTGGACGACGCCTAAAGAAAACCCGATTGTGGTCAGTAATCGATTCTTCAACAGGCTTCTGATCTCACAACAACGCGAATCGTTATGGAGTTCTTTCGCCCTTTCCTTGATTTTCTTCCATTGGTGATTTTTCTTGGGTGGAAGGGCGAGTTGAGGCTGGGGGGAATGTTTCTTGGCAAGCTCACCGTGAATGTAGTCGATTCCACCTGCACATCACCGGGACGCATCGTTAGTTTCCATGTCTTGATATCCTGGGGAGGGTATTGCAGAGCTACTGCTTACCGTGCAAGCCCAGCATGACTCCCAATTGTTGGAATCGCTCGGGAGTGAGAGTTCCCTTGCTCAAGGCGACTTTGTTCTCCTTCAAGTACTTGATGATCCGCTTGACGCGGCCAACATCCTCCGGGTATTTCTTGTAGTAAACTTCATTTCGTCGGGCGGCCACCGCTGCATGATACGACGGCTCGTCAACACCAACGGCCACCTCGGTAAAAGCACGAGTCGTTTTAAAGGTAGAGGAGGGGAAGCGTACCAAACAAGCGTGGGATAACCTGGCCAGGCTCGTTGACCATCGGACAAGGTCCACCCCCAATAAAGACTTCGACTAACGAGTTGGGACTAGTCCACCATCACGATTAGTTCAATGAATTTGCGAACAATCATGAAAGAGGCACTTACAACATGGAGACATAGGAGATGGCACAGAAGCCGCCGAAACTGGCCGCCATGACGCTCCACTTGCTCTGGTCGGCGGGCGCATCCTGGTAGAGATGCTTCCGAACCGCCTCACAGTCGCGGACGATGTTGTCGGCGCGGAACCGCTTCAACAGGTCGGCCTGCTTCTTGTGATCGCCCTGCTGGGCCAGGGTCTTGGCCGTGATGGGCGAGCTCTGCCCTGTTCCACGTTCGTCCAGGAACAAGACCCGGTAGCCCTTCTCGAGGATGCTAGGGAGCCAGGCATACTCCAGGGGGGTCTTGCAGCCCAGGCCGGGGCCACCCTGCAGGTACAGCATCCAGGGGAGCTCCGGATCGTCGACGCCCAGTACGCAGTGAATACTGCGCGCAAAGAGGCGCACCGTCCCTTCGTCAGGCTTGCTGTGGTTGAGGGGCACCTCAAAGCGCCATTCCGAAGTGCGGCATTTGCCCGGCCCGTCATGCGAGAACCGGTCGATGAGCTTGGCAGGCGCAATGTTCTGCTCGACGGCCATGGTGGGCGCCGGCTTGGTGAAGAAGGATTGCATATTTGGAAGAGAAGATCAAAGGGAGTGTATCAATCTTGAACCTGCTTGACTTGGTTCGGCGGCTTGCGACTCATGCCTTCAAGATCGCAGACTGGTGAGCGTGAGTCGCGCTTTATAGCTGCCCAGCGGCCGCATGGATGCCAGGCGAACGGCCTCTCATCCCCAGTGTCTTTGTCCGAATGCGCCTCGATGAAGTTCAGCGTACGAGAGGGCATTGCGGGTCTGATCAATGCAACCGTCACAGCAACCGAGCTTTGAGCTTGGATTCCGTTACTTCTGCACGAGTCTGTGACGGCACCACTGGAAGATTCACGCCTCGAAACGCATTACTGTTTTCAGCTCCGATCTACCTCAACACTCAGTTGCAGACCATGGATGATATAGCGTTATATCATCGACAGATGCATCAATTCGATTGGACATCCTGGAGAATGGATGAAGTCAGACAGTTGCATGCTCTAAGACAAGCAATGTTCCATGCCAAGACAAGCCGCCTCCATCCAGTCTGACACAGAAATTAACTTCACTCCCAGTTACTTAATTATGGGCTGTCGCTGACTAATTCCTCGAGCCGGCGCCATCGCCCCTGGTTGAGACACTTCTTCAGTCTCTGTATCAACAGGCTAACCCTGCTTTCTGTGGACGTTTACAGTACATCCCTCATTTTAACACTAGGTATCAGACGTACTGGGACCGTGGGCTGGCGGATAACTTTGAAACAAATAAACAGCCTCAATCCTCTAGTGTGTTGGGTACGTATCGACGTTTTGTGTATTTCCTTTGAATTGTGTCTGGAAGCCCTGTTAGACACCGCATTCGGCTAGGTAATGAAGACAGACAGGAAGAGGCCTCTATCCAGGGGACGGGATGGGGTCCCATCCAGAAGTTCGACCACCACCCGATCTTCTGATGAAGAAAATTGCTGCGAATGCGGCCACTGACCGCAAGCTGTATGCTCCGTCATAGCCTGCTCTGGACCCTGATACGTATCGTTTCCTTGGAGGCTCGGGGGCGGTAATCTGTGTCCGACGCGTTCAGATGTTCTGTTTCCGCTTCCACACGCCACGAGCGAAGCTTGATTCCCAGCCACACCGCGCCGTGTGTTTTCTCCGTCGATTCCAGCCCCGGTCCAGCGGGTTGCTCGCTCGGCCTCTTTTTTTAAAATCAAGCGGTCATTGATGAGATAATCTCCCGATGGAACCCTCCATCATGATGGATTATCGCATTACTAAGGGTGCCTCGAAGCCCTATTGCATGTTCACGACGCGCAGCGAGTACCGTAGATCGATCGGTGTCTTGAACGCGCTTGGTTGAAGATCATTACCGAAAAGGCCAGAAGACTCCACTGAATCGACAATAGATGGAATTGAATTCGCAGAAACACATGCATGGAGGCTATGGTAACTACAGTTGAAAGGTCTAGAGTCACGGCCAAAGCTGGGTAGTCCACAAACTCAGGGGGCCCATGTTAACTGCCTGGTCTCAGACACTTTGTGCAATGCTGGATTGGGGGAGCGCTATCTTATGAACATACCTTCAGATTTCCGTTGAGCTTGCACAAATCCATCTTAAAAGATCACTCAGTGGATTACTATGAATCAAAGCAAGTTATAGTAGTACCGAACTATTCTCCAAGATATACTCTGGACTATGAATTCACTCTTAATTCTTTCAAATAAAAGATATAATTTTAAATATGATCAATATTTAACGACAGATTCATAAGTATTTAGTCTAGATTTCTTATGAGATACCTTCCAATAACGCAACTCACCAAAGAAAGTCGTGCGGCAGAAACGAGACCGGCGGAAGAAAAGCCTAATATATAAGGCCTATGAACACATTAAGCTGTGCGACGCTGATATATGCCTCAGTGGTCGGATTTGAGATTCCGCACACGTTACAATGTTCCCAGCTGGGTTTTCGTGGGGATTTTCGTTTTCTTTAATAAGGAGTTTTTTTTTAATATGGTTTCTGACGGAGAGCCTGGCCGGCCTCCCATTGGCCGGCCAGCTCACCGCCCTCTCGGCCACCGAGTTTTCTGTCTAGTTAGCCTCAGATAGCCTTCGAATGTCACATTCTTCCCGCTTCCCACCAGTTGCTATTGTAAACTTACTAATACCAGCTAAAAGAGATACTACCCACAGCCGGTACAGAAAACAGATAATAATCTCAACGAATCCGCTGCTGGTGAAAGTGCTGGTAAGGAGGATAAGATCAGACTCGTTCTGCACCTGAGAAGCCTCTCGAAATTGACTAAGCAATTGGAAAGTAGTTAACCAAGTGGTCACGAACCGCTAACAAGCACAACACTTAGTGCCATCCTCTCCAAGTCTCCACGTTCCCAGCGATTGGGTTGAGCACGAGTTGGCGGGGCTCAGTGACTTAATTCTTGACAGCAATCTCGAGGAACTTAGGGCTAGTCTAAGCAGCGAAGCCTCATTTGGGAGAATCAATCAGTCCTCTTGGCACCATTTGGCGATGATGAATCTCTTCGAGTCGGGCACTACCGAGGAGCCCACATGTGGAGACCCGCAAATCTGGGCTGGAATGTTCGCCGCCGTGATGATATCGCCGATCTTCAATCACCCACAATAGACATGTGTCTACCGCCCTATAGCCTCGATCTTCGAGCATTGCGAGTGTCATGCAGACCTGCTCTGTTCTGCTGGTAAACAAGTCGCTATCGGTAGCGTTATCTTCATGGGAGCTGGAATCTCTGCTGCCTAGGGGGGAACACACGTTCAAGCGGGGAATAGTGGGGACTGCCGAGCAAATAAACTCGTGGATGCTGACGACTACTAGTGACTAGACGATGCTCTCTACGCGCCAGTGCCGGAGTGATTCCAGGAGACCGGTCGATGATTGGGAGCAGTTTAGAGTTACTGGGAAAAAAAGGCTTATTAAGGTTGATCGCCAGTCTTTCTGGCTATCGAACTTCCTTCTGAAATGGTTGTTTGTTTCTGCTGGAGTCTGATGCCCTAAGTTGGGGATTCATGCTCGATCAACGAGTGATAGACACTTGACATTTCTCCGACCATGAAGAATCCGTGGTCTTTTACCGCCTGGTCGGGCTGCTTGCTGATTGTTCTTTCTATTGTTCACGGCACGCGAGCAATAGATATTGAAGTTAGCAGTGAGCGTATGTTTCGTTCCTTTTTTTCAATGCGCTTGACTTGATTGTTCTTCTTCGATATTCCACCAAGCAGGATTGCTGATCACTGGTCATTATACAGAATCCATCAAAGATGCCGCCAGCACCGCCGCATACGGGTTGATGTCCTACTACCATGGCAACGAGTCAGGTCACATCCCGGGGAAGCTCGATGATACGTGGTGGGAGGGCGGCGCCATGTTCATGGCTCTTATTCTGTATTATCACTATACCAGTGATAGCACTTACAACAAGGAGGTGATCCAAGGAATGCAGTGGCAAGCAGGAGATTGCGATTATATGCCGTCCAACTATAGTAGCTGGCTGGTAAGAAGATTGACTCTTCTTCCTCGACAACCCCGCTCAATAAGCTCAATCTGACCATGACCAGGGAAACGATGACCAGATGTTCTGGGGTCTGGCGGCAATGACGGCGGCGGAGCTCAACTTCCCCAACTCGGACGACGGATACTCGTGGCTGGCGCTGGCGCAGGGGGTTTTCAACACCCAAGTCGCGCGGTGGGATACCACCACGTGCGACGGGGGGATGCGGTGGCAGATGTGGACCTACGAAAGCGGGTATACAATGAAGAACACGATCTCGAACGCGGGATTATTCCAGCTCTCCGCGCGGCTGGCCCGCTACACCAGCAACCAGACGTACTATCAATGGGCGGAGAAGATCTGGGACTGGTCCGCGTCGACGCCGCTACTCAGCAACTCGACCTGGAACGTTGCCGACTCCACGGAGACGACCAACGACTGCAGCACCCAGGGCGACGATCAGTGGACCTACAACTACGGGGCCTTCCTGGGGGGCGCGGCGTACATGTACAACTACACCAACGGCACCAGCCGCAGCAAGTGGCAGACGGCTGTCAACGGCCTGCTGAACGTGACGCTCGACACCTTCTTTCCGACCAAGTACGGCGGCAACGTCATGTCGGAGATCCTGTGCGAGCCGACCGAGGTGTGCAACCGCGACGAGATCATCTTCAAGGGCCTCCTGTCCAACTGGCTCGCCTTCACCGCCATGCTCGTGCCCTCGACCTACAGCCGCATCCTGCCCAAGCTGCAGGGCTCCGCCGAGGGCGCCGCCGCGTCTTGCACGGGCTACTCCAACAGCTCCTGCGGCGTCCGCTGGAACTCCACCTGGGACGGCTGGTCCGGCCTGGAGGAGCAGATGAGCGTCGTCAACGTCTTCGTCGCCGCCCTGCTGCCCTACATCAACTCCTCCGCCACCCCGCGCACCGCCTCCACCGGCGGCAACAGCACCAGCGACCCCTCCGCCGGCACCTCCGACGACACCAACGACGAGGAGACCCTCAGCACCATCACGACGGGCGACCGCGTCGGGGCCGCCTTCGTGACGATTATTCTGGTCGCCTTGTCGGTCGGGAGTCTGGTGTGGATGATCTTGCTGTGACGTGTGGATGCCGTGGTGGTGAGCGAGAATGATACCCTGTTTTACGTGTTTAGCAATAGCATGAGATTGTTCTTTCAAGCTAAGTGACTTGAGCATTAATACCTGAGTACCCAGTAGCCAATAGACTTTTCTTAGAATATCCGTCTGATGACCCGGCAACCTTTGTTGGTCTTTTCCAATATACAGAGTATCTACAGTAGGGCATGAAATGCTGATCTACCTGGCATATCTCTCCACATCAGCGCAAGATGAGCTGCATCCAGCACATACGACCACAGGGTGAGGGAAATAGGGCTTCCCGTCCGCTCAGCCGTACTCAAGCCACCTGTTGTACGTGGCCGGCTGAAATATGCGCCTTCTACGTGTTGCGACTTTGTGTGGGAGCCACACTAAGTTGGAGGGTGAGTGCGGGTGATATGGGTGATGCTGTTAGGAGTGGGGATGGGCTTAGTGAGCAAGTAGGTGAGGTATTGAGTGACCAAGCAGAATGAATTCGAAAGTTGATTGGTCGCTTGACCTGGTCGTCCACTACCTTTTTCTATTTGATATTTTTATCCTCAGCAAACGACCGCCATTTTGAGAGCCGATCAGTTGGATAAAAACAAAGATTATTGTCACCGGATTCCAGGAGCTTCATTTCCCTCGCAAGCCTGTTTTTAATGCCTGGATTGCTTTAACTGCTAAGACCTGTATTTTGGCGATAGCTTTGTTTCCCTTGTCCTGGCTTGGCAATCCTGTGAGACCCGTAATTAGGAAACTTCCTGCTTAAGTAGAGCCGTCTGGTTAAACACAATCTTACAGCCTTCGATAATATATGATAACGCGGCCTTTATCGGTTTTGAAGGACTCTATATACAGTTACAAAGTAGCCTTCTGCTTATTAATTTATACTATTTCAATTACATTGTGGTTTTAGGCTTCCCTAGCACTATAGAAGTATTAGTTTAACTTCCGTAAAGGTATTTTTTTATAGTTAAATTACTGACTTCTCAAGCACTTTATCAGGATCAAAAGGCACTAATCTGGAAGCTGAGAAGGCGTTCTATATAGACAACTCCTCAAAGGTAAGATTGTAAATTGCTAGATACATATCTAAGAAATCAACTTTAGCAATATAATAGATTTTTCAGTAAATCAGCTGTTCATTTCAACCGCTATACATCTTTAATAGTGAGAAATAAGCAAGCCCTAAAGGCTGATAAAGATGTAAGGAGTAAGAAAGTCTATGATCAAAAGTAACCCTACTTCAGCTGCAGATTCTATCAATTTAAGATGTCATATAGAAGTTCTACCTATCAGGAATCAAGAGGTTATTTTCCTAAAATTACTAGTCTTTTATATAAAATGAAGTAGTGTCTGAGCCAGTATAAGGTGATTCTGTTACTTAGCTAGCTGTTTAGCGAGGTATTGATTTGCTAAGAATGAGGTATATCACTCTTATAATAGGCCTTCATTTGAACCTTTTTCTTGATAATGATATATAAAGGAAAGAGCCCGTTGGAGGAATTGATATACTGCAAGGAAACAGGTAAGCTAGGTGCAGTAAAAGAGTATTAATATAGTGCCGATAAAACTAATCCTGGCTGTTCTGAGTATGGCAAGGCCTAGGATATTTAAGCTACTGAGCTGTTCCTGAGTCGTTGACATTACTACGTTTGGTTACATATATGTTCCGCTGCTGTAATCATCAAGTCACCTAAAACCATTATAATAACTTATTATATATAGATTAATATATATATATATCAGTATGTGATTTGACTTTGTTAACGCGTTTTTGAAGGGTTGTCTGCAGAATATCAAAAGCTTATGCCGCCTTACTTAATGATGGAGTTTGATTGGTTTTTATTATCTGAATCGCCACAAGGATCCTGTATTTTGTCCCTCAAGATATTTTGATTAATATAGGCATTTTGGTGCTTGATTTCTACGGTTAAAGGCCTCATTTTGCTACGGAGTGTAGAATCCCTGAAGAAGCGTTTCTTCCGCATGCCGATTACATTAACAGTAAAAACTTTCAGAAGAATCATCATTTTTTCTATCCTGTTTCGAAAAGTTGTCCCAAAGTATAAGCTTGGCTGCTCTCAGGGGAGTTCAATGGGGCACCAATGGGCGAACGACGAGTCTTGGTCTCGCTCGTGAGAGTAGGCATGGATCTTTACTAGTCCCATGGGAGATGTCAACATGTACCTGTACCTCCCATTTCCTGAGCGAATTCGATAAACGAGACATCCCCCGAGGAATGTCCCAAGGCGACCATGTGACGACTATTGCGAATGGTTTCGCAGGTTGTTCGGTACTGTGCCGGGAGCCACAGTATCTGCCTGCCTCCCGCTAAGATCCAGGACTGGTCGACAGAGAGCAATTGATCGCTTTGCGGGCGGGGATCCGCGGTTTCATTAGTGTTGGTTTCCAATCCCGGTGAGCGTGACGGAAGATTTGGCTGAGTCTGTATCCCAGACAACAACCCAGGAGCGTACATTGTGCGCAGGACAGTGCAAGTCGCTACATCCCAGAGGCCGATCATGCAATCCATCGAACCCGAAACGAGCAGCCTGTTGTCCGGCGAGAAAGAGATGCTGGTAACTGGGCCTTGATGGAATATAAGGGAGCCATAATATTTTCCGGATGGAACCTCCCACAACTTCACCATGTGGTCATAGGATCCAGAGGCTAGAAGTCTGCCGTCTGGTGAGAGCTCGAGGATGTGAACTTTTTCGGTATGTCCAGATACCTTCTCAACTGGCTCCCCTGTCTTTGCATCCCAGAAAATGATCGAGCCGTTTTCCGCGCTCGAAAAGCATCGGGTACCGTCGCCGGAGAAAAGCAATGCCATGATCTCAGCTTCATCCTCATGGTAACCTGACCACATAACATTCCCCGATTCAATATCCCGCAGAACAATGCCATCACCTCCATAGTTGTAAGCGAGAAACGGCCCGGCAGGCGAAATGTCGGCATGTCGGATTTCTAAGCCGTCGGTTAGATATCGTCTTGCCTCTCCATCTGCAGTTCTTCGTACGGTCAGGTACGATTCTTCGCCACACTCAATAATCTCTTGGCCATCATTCGAGAAGAAAATCAACGACACCTGCCAAAGGTGTTGCCAAATGCGAAAGGTCTTGTCCGAAACATTCCACAAACCAGAGCTATTTCGGGTGCCGAACGCAAGGAGCTTCCCATCAGGTGAGAAGTTTAAACTGGATACTCCAGTGAAGAGGTTCTCACGCCAATAGGACGTTCCCGTTTCGACAGTCCAGACACACAAGGGCCCATCCCAAGAACCAATTGCGAGAAGTTGGCTGTCGGGGGAAAATGATAGCACGCTGACATTGCCGGACGGCATGGTGTGCCGGATAGTCAAACCGACGGTCTCCCAGACTCTGACCACTCCATCGTTCGCATATGAGGCGAGCCATTTATTGTCGGGTGAGAATATGACTCTCTTCACCGAACAATCCTTGATGCAGACCTTTTGATGTTCAACGCGGCAGTCTGCCTGGTAGAGACAAACCTCCACGCTGCCCCAGCTTTTGACGGTGGGGAGGTTAGCCGTATAAGAATCAAGGACAACGGATGCGTCTGGCCTGTCCATCTCATCACATAGAGACCCCTCCGCCACAGACCACATCTGAATTATGCCTCCATATGTGAATGACGCCGCCCATTATCGTCGGCGGAGAGCACCACATCGATGGTCCTTGAAAGGGTATTCACCCGGCTGCGGTTCACTTCAAATGTTGTGGCATCCCACAATTTGATCGTTCCGTCCCCAGACCAAGATGCCAGACGTTGACGCTGTGTCCCTTTGTCTGGATCGCCTGCGCATGAGAACGACAAGCCCCAAATCCAGGATGCATGGCCGTTCAGGATCGCTCGGCAGGACTTCGTCTGTACATCCCATATCTTTATGGCTTGAGATTTGGCATAGGCCAGAAGCTTTCCATCCGGTGAGAGGGCCGTAGCACCAATGCTGGGGTTCTCCGTATCAGACTCGACAAGCCAAACCTGCTCGCCACTGAGAACCGACCACGCTCTGATGGAGTCACCCGACATTGAAATGAGCAGGTCATCGTCCCCTGTAAATCCAAGGAACTGGATTCCTTGCATGTGTCCCAACATCTCGTGGTGGATTTCCCTATCTGATATGCTCCATAACTTGACGGCAAGGTCACCAGTAGCCAGGTAATTGTTGCTAGGTGAGAAAGTGAGCCATGTGGTCCATGAGTAAGCAGGACAGTTAAGTAGCTCCTCTCCGGTGGCAACCTCCCATACATGCACAATGTACAGCTCATCGGTGATGGCAAGGTATCGACCATCGTGTGAGAATGTATTATAGCCAGGACCGTGATAACTACCTAGAACCTTTGGCTGGGGGGACTCACCTCCTGCCTCTACTATCGTTGCCATTTCATTGTCGCCGAGTTGGGTGACTTTGAGGTTAGAGGATATCTGTCTAGTATCAAAACCTCCAAACCAGACCGGCTCCGCAGTCTCTGTTATGAAATCCCAAAGTTTATGGCCATCTTTTGTGGGGATTAGAAGCCGGCCGTCCGGAGATACCATCATTGCTCCAGATGTTATATCGGGAATGGTTTGTATAAGTTGGCCAGTGGATGTCTTCCAGAGTCGGATCGTGTTATCGTTATTGAACGATGCCAGAATAGACCCATCTTGAGAAAAGACAGCCTGCGAAGCACACACGCCTTTATACTCTAGTGTATGAAGTTCTGATCCCCAACTACCTTGGACTCTTGGGATCCCGGTCAGCCAATTCGGGAGATGGGAGGCGAAAGATTGCCGGACAACAGATGAATGAGGCGCAAAGGCAAGCGCAGAGGTATAGATCTGAAGAGGTGATATACTAGCAACGTAATGATAATTGTCAATGAATCGAACTGCATCATTCACCAAGTCTGCCAAGTGGGATTTAGCAGGCTCCTGAAAGTTCATGATGCGAAGTTAGAATCCAGCCAGCAGATAGAGGAGAGGTTCCCTTACTGAGATCAAAGATTGAAGAGTTCTTATTGATACCACGCATTCGCCCATTCGACCCAGAACACTCATGGCCTCTAACCAATGCAAGAAGTGGTTTCGTAGGTATAACAGCACTTCTTGGGTCCGGCTCGCTAAGCCCTCTCCTTCTTTGATGTGATAAATCCAGTAACGACAGGAGTACTCGAGTTCGGGGGAGATGAATTCGGAGACCGGTACTCGGTGCGCCTGGTTAGCCTGCTCCCCAAAGTCTCCCAAGCTGCAAATATCACGTCGCAGGCCTTGATGACTCTGTGACATAATTTGCAAGCACTGTGTGGCGAGACGAAGATGTGTGTCTTTTTCATCGACCCAGAACAGCTCGTCACCCCGAGCGGGGTCGACAAGATATTCGCGGAATGAAAGATGTATCCATTGAACAGGACTTTCCTTATCTCCACGAGGTGGAACAATTAACACTGACTGGAAATTCTCCAAATGAGTGGCGATTTGCTCTTCCTCCTTTCCGGACAACTTTGCCTGGCAGCCGATGGACAGGGGTGATGCATACGCCATGATCCCCCCTACGATGACCTTGAAATGCTCTAGAACCATCTTCTGGTCATCGGGATCGGGAGGTAGAAGGCTCAAAAGAAGTTGATCATATGTTGACTGCATCTTCGATGCTCCACCGTTCGCTTTTCATGTCAACACCTTTTGGAGCCGGCTGTCAAGGGGCTCCCAAACGGTGTCCATGAACTTACAGACGGTAGAGGCAACGATGAATAGGGGATATGCCATGTCTGTCAATTTCTGGATTGTTGCCTCACTTGGCCAGTCATTGGATGGCCTAGGATTGGTCTCTTCCTTTGATCCCTTACCCTTTAATTCCTTATTTTTTAAATTCCTTGAACCAGTGCGTATAGAACTTGGATATGTCTCGCTTGGTGATTTCTTGGGCAATTTCGATCAGCTTCACGTCCTTGTGCTCGGAATCGTGGATCAAATTCAATCCTTTTAGGATTTTGATTTCTGGTCTCCCCGTCACGAAGAACCGCAGACTCACGTCCAGGTTAGCTCGCTGAATTTGCGGCAGCCGGTCAATGATAATGCTGATGCTATTCCCTTCGTTCTCGCATTCGTCCAACGCATCAATAACCATAATGAAGTCGAGTTTGTGCCGTGAAGGAGATTTGATCTTTGGTAATAGCTCAGAGAAGAAGAATCGAAATTGGTCCCCTATCCCAGGGGAAGTTATGGAAAGATTGTTGGCGATCCAATCGTAGAGCAACTTTTTGTACGGAGGCAGTCTTTCCGCCAGTTGCATAGCAAGAGTGATAAAGAGATTGTTTGGGTCTCTGCGCGCCACATCGCCTCGACTGAAGAAAAAGGACGCACCCAGAAGCTTTCTCTCACTTAATCTTATAGCCACCGTGCGTGCAATGGCCGACTTTCCTATTCCCGCCATCCCATCTAACCAAAAGATAGGCGTTTCTTTATGATTATCCATCCAATCTTCAATCTGATCGAGCAGTTCATCCCTTGTGTCTTCGATGCATTCTCCGAGCATCTGGTTAATTGAGGAGTCGAACATAGCGTTCTTTACTGGCTGGACATGCTTAACAATCCCGATTCGAAATGCGGCCTCCACGGAATCTAGAACCGCAGTCAACATCTCCTGGGCACGTTGTGTACTGTCTCGCTGATGCAGAAGATGGGCCGCTTACCCGAGGCTCTGCAAAACTGCTTCCATATCTGCGATGGCTGACTTAAGCACCGTCAAAGGGAAAGTGGCCGCTGCTTGCATACTGTCGCGGATGCGCTTACTCTTAGATCTACGAATAGCAATCACTTCATGCGTGTAATGGAGGACTGCGAGGTAGACTTTGACGAAAACATCCTCCACGGCCTGCTGGCTCCGAGTGCCACAACCTCGGTAGATCTCCTCGTATACAGCGTAGCGCTGCATTGTCTCCGCCAGGAACGCCGCAGAATTAAACCAGGCTTCCTGCTGTTGACGATGGTTTTGCATGGCCTGATTTGTTTCATAATCAGAAAGTTAGCTCTTTGGTTGCAGGAGGGAGGGTCGTACCGTGATGCCCCAGGCGATAACCCCCCATACGCCTGCTGCATGCCCGGTGGGATCGAACGACACGGCTGCCTGGGCGGCTGGCTGCAAGAAGAGAGCCGCGTCGAGGACTTTGTGCGCTGGCTTGGTAATTGTACTCTCCTGCTTCTACCAGGCACGGATCTCCAACTGCGCTCTCACAGCACCAATCGCCTTATCCATCATGTTGCCAGCCTCTCCATCGCTTTCGGTTCCATAAGTCTTCTTGATAATCCATTCGATATTCTCTTTTGCCTCCGGCGTTAGCTGGTGATACGCAACGGACCATAGATCCTGCTGCCCGTCTTGGATACTATCAATAGACTTTTGAATGTCTCATGTGCCGACCAAGTGCTCTGTGCACCTTGACCCTCCCTGGCTTGCTTCTTCTGTGTCTGCGACTTGGCTTGAGCTCCAGGATCGTCCTAACTTTCCTGTCCTATGGTGGGACTGTGGTCTGGTCTGGGAGCTTTCGTAGCTACTCGCTGGGCCTGCAAGGGCGAGTGCTGGCACTGGAATGCTTGACACGGACTGACCTGGGCTGAAAGAGAGCATTGTATCATTTGTCTGGTCACGGAAATGCGATTGGGTCGGCGAGTTTCCATGGCAATTCGTTGCGCTGGCAGGAGTAGGCTCTGTATGACTCGACACTCGATGAGTCGCTTGCCCGACGTCTGTCATCTGATCCGAAGTCAAATATGTGGCTAGATCCTCGGTTTCCTGGCATTGATGCGGCTCGGTGTGGAGGCTCTGGTGGGTGTCTGTTGTGCTGGCCGCCTCTTCTGGTGTAAGCACTGCTTTGCTTGACGCTGATCGTTTCGTGTCTGTGACAGGAGTAGAACACGGAGATCTCACTGTCTCTTTCGTTCTCTGGTGAGATTGAGATCTGAATGGCCGCACAAGACATGTTAGAATCGCTGAAAAAAACGACATATCCTTGATTAATTGCTTCTTTTGCCGCGGATACGACAGGTTCAGAATTACAATGCAATGAGAAACAGGACAAATGAATTGACCTTTTGGTCAGGTTTGCGGATCCAGGATATTAGAGATCACAGTTATTTTCAGCTCAGGCTATCTCAAAGGTAGTTTGGTTTCATATATTCAGTAGCGAAGCGCCCGTATCTACCATTATCAAGGCATTGATACCCAATGAGACAAGGATCATGCCTTGCTTTCGCTTCGGATGGAGGAAAGCTGGAATGGCTGAATTACTTAAAGCCAATAAAGGTCATTCTTCGACCGCGGGTTCACCTACGAGTCCTGAACCTCGCATAGTAAGTGTCGAACGAGAGCATGTTCTCCGCAGACTGTGCATCATTAGTGTCTGCTTCGGGAAAAGCAAGTATAGCTCGAACGAATCATATGCTCTCGTCATTGCACACAAATCTTTGATTGCGGTTGCCCCATTCCATCTAAGTGGAAATCATTGACTACAGGAGAGTACCCGTGCTAAGACCAAGCGCTGTGCAATTGCCACGACCACGCCCTGAAATTTCATTTTCATTATTGTAGATGCAACGAGTCTGCGGCTTCGAAGCCTGACTATGTAAGTTGAATGATCTATGGACTACCTCTTCCACGTCCGACCCCAGATCCTCGACCTCGCCCTCGACCTCGGACCCAAGCTGCCTCTCGTGCCTCCTGAGCCCGGCGCCGCTGCGCAAGCACTTCTTCCAGAACCTTTGCAGGTGTCTGCCCAGCCGTATTCTGCTGGGTCATAGATGCACCACTATCAAGCAAAAGCTGGACGAACGCTTCACGGGCTCGCGTGAGACGGTCAGGGTGAATAGACTCGAGCTGGCGGGTGTGAGGGTCTAGCCGACGAGGTAACGTGCCCCACATGAGCTCGTGCAGGGGGGTGTTGCCCAGGTGATTGACTGCATTCACATTCGCGCTGTGCTGGATGAGATAATGAGCAGCGTCTGTTTGATCCAGGTGGCGCACCAGGTAATGGAGGGCGGTGTTTCCATCAGCGGCCGCCGGGTCGTTGACGCCGACCTGCCCCAGCAGCCGGTCCAGGAGATCGGGCTCGAGGCATGTAGGGTCCCAAGTAGTGCGAGTCAGCTGATGCAGTAGATTGCGGCCCTCGAGGTCACAGACGCGCGCATCTGCTCCATATCCCAGTAGCAGCTTGAGCAGCGGGACAAGGGAGGCGCCGGAATTGGCGTGCACCGCAACGGCCTGGCTCGCCGCTGCCACGCCCTCACGGTTGGGTTGATTGACCGTCGTTGAGTCTGCATCGAGCAGCAGAGTCACCGATTCCAGCAGTCTTCTGACACTAATGCCGCGATCGCGAGTCAATGCCCAGTGCAGAGGGAGCTGGCCCTGGCTATCACGACTTCGGGCCATCTGCGCGGGCTCAACATGCGCCAGCAGCGCGCGGATAGCCTCCACATTCCAGTGCAGACTGGCAATATGCAGCAGGGTGACTTCCTTCGCATATCGCATGTCGTACCTTTGCGTCTCAAAGGGTCTCCGCCAGTGCAGGCGAGTCTGCAGATCGCTCCCTGCTTGAACCAGGCGAATCACCATATCGTAGCTGGCACGGGGAATGGCCGCTGCGAGCACGGTACAGGTGCTCGTCCCCGTCCCATCAATGGCAGGAAAAACCAAGTCCGACTCTTCCACCGAGCAACACTCCTCCTGCACCATCAGCCACCGAATAAAGGCCTCATGGTGCTCCCGTCGCCGCGCCTCGGCTTCCTCCCAGCTTTGTTCCCCCTCATCCTCCACCTCTCCCGGCTCCGCCGCATGCTCCCACCCATCCTCAAGGTCCGAACTCCCCAGCCCTATCGCAGCACTCATCAAAGCCGTGCGACCCAGGCAGTCCCGCTCCCTCAGCGATCCCAGCGGCGGCTGCTGGGCCAGCAACCACTCCACAAACTCCCGATCCGCCGCCCGACACGCCGCATCCATGAGCGAGAGCTCATGTCGCCAGAGATACTCCTGTACCGTCTCCGTCCACGGGCCCTGACTCAACGTCATCTCCTCCTCTCGGCTCCTCCTTCCCATGCGTTGGCCGTGCTCTTCCTGCATCATCCGCTGCTGCATCTCGGCGACTGCGACCGCGCGGTCCTCGGGGTACGATTCCACCAGGGCACGCAGCGTCCGAAAGCTGCGGCGCTCAAGCGCAATCACAAACGGATTGTCCATGTCCATGCTGTACGCCCGGCGGATGATGCGCCCTTGGCTCTGTCGGTATTTCCTTAGAGCGGCGACATCGTCACGATACAGAATCTCGTTCAACAGGCAGTGGTACGGCCCCTCGTAGACGGGGAATCCGTCTGCGTCGTGGAAGCAGGGTGGCCGGCCCCGAAAGTCGGGGTCCTGGGTGCGGAAATTGAGGTAAGACATACTGATATTATCGAATCCTCGGGAGATTGAACAATTCACGAAGAGAGAGAGAGAATTGTGGCGGTTGGTGGGTGAGTGGAGATGGAGTCTTGAAGAGGGAGTGGAAAAGGTTTAAAACCTGGAGACGAGGGGGGGGGAGCATGACATCAAATATAATATAGTCCCTAGTTGTATCGGGCGCCAGATCTGGCCTAGGGAGAAAAAAAAATGAAAAGAAGAAAACAAAAAGGGGGGTTAGCTTCGGAGAAAGAGGTGTCGGTAAACTAAAGTATTTGTTTTGGCGATTCACCATTAAAGGTTTCGACCATTAATTTCTCCAGTCTCTATCCTAATGTTCGTTTCATTGATTCATTTCTGTTTTCCACTTGTTCCCCTTATGTCTTCTTTACTGATTGGATTTACCTGTTACTGCATTTAAATCTATCCGTTCTTCATTCTGCTTCGTAGCTACCTTGCCCCTCACTCAAACTCCTCACCATAAGTAATATACATTTGCATTAGAATCCAACCCTTGGCCCCATGATTTTTAGGTCTAATCTGGGGTGCGAGGTCATCTGAATTGAGCAGCAATCTATAAAACAGCATATTCTTGTATGAAGCTATGAGCAGACACGCGACCTAGTCCAATCTTGAGGGTATCACCCCAGTCGAGGCTGCTTAAACGTGCTAAGTCCAAGGCGCCGTGTTGGTAGAAATAGTGACCTGCGCCCCCGTAAAGTCCCAATTCGTGGTAAAAGCCCCAGTCTGCGGGTTGTACGCAGACCAGCCGTTCACCTGATTAGAAACGGGCCTGAAGCCTTGGTTCTGGGAGTCGTCATAGTCGGCGATCACTGGCCAGATATAGGCCAGGTTGCTGTAGGAGAAAAGACCCTGGTTTTGCAGCCAGAGACCCTGGTAGGGACAGAAAAAGAATAGGTCAGCAGCTCGTTCAAGAACTGAACTAAACAGGCGAACAAGCGTGATCAACGGCACTTACAAATGCGTTCAGCTCTGTGACATAGGTTACTGGGAGGTTTGTCCGACTCCGCTGGGCCGTTTGGATGTCAGTTGTCGAGTCACGGCCGATGTACCACCGCGAACCGCTATTGCAGGCGATGGCCTCTGCGCGTCCGTTGTAGTTGGCGCTGGCGCCGACATTGATTCCATTGTTACCGTTGAGGTCATACGTATCGGAGAAGCGGAACTCGGCGCGGGGGTCGGCGTAGTTGCCCAGCGAGTGTAGTGTCTGACTGTGATAGACCATCATGGCCGCCACTCCCGGGTAGAAGTTCCGGTCTGACGTAGTGAGGGATCGGAAAGTGATAGAATCCAGCGGCATGTGCAGATGGAAGACGATCCATCGGTCTGTGTTGACCGTGTCGCCGCTATCTCCATAGCTGTTCAGCATCGCCGTCGTGGGCGTCGTACCAGGGGTAGGGCCGATCCAGAAGGCCAATTCGAGGTTCACCTCCCGGCGTCCGGTTCCCTGGATCCAGCGGGCGTAGTGAAATGTCAAATCTCCCTATCGGGATTCTGTTAGTGGGTGCTGGGGGACGAGTCAGATTGATCCGGTTCTTCTTACATTCACGACTCCCCGCAGCGCGGCGAGGATAGTAGGCTGTGTACCATCCTGTGACCGAGTATTCTCGCTGACTCCATCTAGCATACGTTTGCCCAACGGCACCGATGCGTTGCCCTCGGCTTTTGCGTAGTTATCACTCTCTTGCGAGGCCTCCTCCTCGAAGATCTCTGCCAGTGCCCGCTTGCTAGTAGTGGAGGATGAGGTAGACTCGATCTCGCAAAGGATAGAGCTCGCGGCACCCATACTCTGGACAGCGTTGGCAGAGTCGGCAATATCACACAGGAACTGCGCGACTATTGCCTCGGCATCCCAGCTGGGCGATCCAGTCCAAGGGTCTCCGTACCCATAGATCGTATCCGTAAAAATGGTGAGATTGGCGGCTTGGTCCTGAAGTCCATGGTCCGCCATGGCCTCATTGAACAGGTCGGTCAGGTCGGATCGGGGCGTGGATGAGGTGAGCCATGCTACGAGGTAGCTTAGAGCATACATGTAGACCAAGTCCTGCTTGCTTGTGGTTGTCGAAGTCGAGCTGCGTTGATGCAGACCTCGTTTGGTGTAGTCAAAGGTCGCACTGTACTGGGCGTCTTCGTTGGCCGAACAAGTGGGATTGTCCAGCCATTGGTTTAGGTAGTAACTGAACTCATAGGCTGTTGAGTCGGTAAGGGGATCGGGACTGGAGCGCGGACTAACGCTGGAGGAGGTGGTGGTGGTGGTGCCATTGCAACAGTAGGCCTCGTTGCCGAAATCGCAGTCCGACGCCTTGCCAGGTCTGTTCGCGCCCATGAGCACGGCGACCGACTCCTCGGCAATGCGAATGGCACCAGAAGGGCAGGCATCGGTGCAGTACGCGGTATTGATGAATGATATCTGATGGCCGGTCCAGGCACAGTTGGTAAAGGCATCCGGGATTGAGCTCTTGCAGCAGTAGTTGTAGTTTTTGGATCCGCTGCACGTCTTCCGTCCTCCCCAGCCCTGACGAGATCCCACGACAAATTTGTCGTAGCCAGAGGGGCAGGTGTCGTCCGACTCGCAGCCAGAGGTCCACGCACACTCAGACCAGGGCTCCGTCGAGGTGGTTGTTGTGCAGCAGGCGGACTGATATCCCGAGCTACAACCAGCAGTGATCGTGCCTACTTCTGCTTCGCCGCTGTCGCAGCCTCCCTTGCACTTGCCGCTGTTGTGAAAGCCACGCCAGCGACAGGTTGGTAGGTCACTCGAGGTAGGGCAGCATAGGGTCTGTGTCTGCTTCGACCCAGTCAAGCACTCAGTTGAGTCCAACATAATCTGCGACTTCTTGTCATCGCGGGTGATTTCAGTGAACCCCGAGGGACAGGTTTCCCCGCAGTTAATGAACCGACAGACACTATCCTGAGACGAGGTTGTGGTTGTGGTCGTAGTAGACTTCTCTGAGATAGTCAGTGGCAGACCAGTCGTACTGTTAATGTTCACCTCCAGTCCTAACGCGGCGGCAAGGCCGTTGGAGAAGGTGTCCTGGTCGTCGTCTTCATCCACCGACCACACCATGACTCCGCCTAGACATACCGACTTGGCATACTCAGCCTTGAGCTTCCAGGTGTCTTCATCGTCAAAGGAGACCCATTGGTCGGTGTCCCAGGTGATGGTCTTGACCGCAGCGTCCTTGTAGAGCGTGGCCGTCAGGTTGTACTCGCTGACGATACTCTCAATCTCGCTGTTGAACAGGATACCGGCGGAGTCACTGCACTCCCCCGCGGTTCCGGCGGAGAGATACTCACAGCCAGGTTCGGTGCAGGAGGAGCTTGCCACAGTGAAACTGCGCCCATAGAACGCCAAACCAAGGTTCACCTTAGAAGGCTCGATATTGACGCCCCATAGCAAATCAAGGGCGGACTTGATCTGAGTCAGATTCGTGTGGGCATTGAGGTAGGGACCCTCCCAGACATCAGTAATATCCCATGTGCCGTGAAGATCGTAACTCATCACATTGAACCAATCGACCGAAGGCTCAATCGAGGTGAGATCGAAGTGTTGGAGATACCAGTAACTAGTCGGCAGTGTGATCGACAGACCGTACTTGTAGTCACTCAGGGCCTTTTTCAAGCTGGCCAGGAAAGTAGGGAAGTTGTCGTAGTCCTCTGTACGACCATTGCGATCAGTGGCAGCAGGGTACTCCCAGTCGATATCTACGCCAGTAAAGCCATAGGTACTCATGAAATTGATTAGAGACTTGAAGAAGGCCGCCTGCGTGGTGGAGTCGGCGGCCGCAAGGTCGGAGAAGGTGGTGGCGGTGGGTTCATCACTGTCAGAAAAATCCCATCCCCCGATCGACAGCCACAGCTCTTGGTTCAGGTCACGAATTTGCAGTGCTTCCAGTTGCGGGTAAAGAGTTTCGTCGGACTGCTGCGCAGGAATCACTTCAAAGGTGTCCGGGTCGATACTGCCGAATGCGAAGTAGAGATGGGTAAATACACCCTGAGGCACGGAGTAAGGAGCCATAGCATCACAGCCGCGCGCAGCCGCAGCAGAATTGTAATACCCGATGACACGAGTGATAGAGTGAGTACTAGCATCGCACGAGGGCGCAGTCACGGTCTTGTTGCCACAGAACTCCTCGGTCGTGCCGCAGAAGCCGTATTTACTGCAACACACATTCAGCGGACATGTCGTTGCGTTCACATATTCGGACGGCCAATTGTCCGGGTTGCATTCGGCTTTGGCATCACAGCTGTTGATACACACGTCGGCGCCACAGTAATCGGGCCCCATACCGCACACACCATACTGGCCACAGCAGCCTGTCTCACAGGGCACTGTGGCGCTGCAGGATGTGTCTGCGAAGACCGAGGGCAAAGCCCCTAGCCCGGCCAGAAGCGCCCAGAGCGCGACAGCTCGCATGGATGGTTATTTGTGCAATAAGGAATATGGATGGTAGATGAGAAATAACGAGGGGAGGGCAGGGAGTGAAGCCGGAAAGAATGAATGTCAGTTGGTATGCATCATACACCGCTGGGAGAGAACGAGAGATAGTCGAATAGTGCGTTGATAGTCGTTACCGACGTTGGACTTATATATACAATTCTTTCTTAGGGACCGACAGTCGAAGACTAGACATGTCTGGAGTAATATCGGTGTCATGGTGGCCGAAGCGTCCCCTTGCACCTCCGTCAATGTCAATCAACGCTCTAGACAGTGCCCACCTGTAGATGGGTTGCATTTCCTGACGACCCACAGCTTGCATTGAGGTAGACTTCTGTTGCCCTGTCCATACGCATGACCCTAGCACGGCATCTACAGCAGTTCGGCTTTCTTGTCCCTTTCAGGGTTGTCCGAAACCTCCTTTCTTCTTTTACTCGCTAGCTTGCTTAGCTCGGACGAGTGCAGCCCATCTGAGGCTCTATATGAGGTACTAGTACTGAATATTTGGGGGCCAAAATTGAGGCTGAACAGCTGAACATCTCATAATCAGCCGGCCTTTCTCGTTCGCTTAACTGGATCTCCATTATCACGAGTCTTTGAGCTGTGGCAAAAAGGGCTGTGGTTGGTGGAACTTGCGCTAGTGGATGGCAGTATATACTATACTTCACAGGACTAATGCCCGTAGGCCTGGGTATTACCAGGGCCCAAGACCCTAAAAGCCTCACGCTAAGACTGCACTAGAGCCGCACTACACCAGATTCAGAGGAGGCTAAGACTGCACTAGGGGCTGTTAAGTGCTTAGCCGCCGCTAAGCTTTGGCCCCCAACCAAGCAGAAAAGTGTCAAGAGTGTCAAGTCACCGGCGCACCCCCTGAATGCCCTCTTCTCCACCCGCAACGGTCCAATAGTCCAGGATTACTAATTGACGCCGTGTAAATTAAGATCAATATTGCGCCGAATGGCACTATTCCATTGCTGCATACGGTTTGTCATCAGAACTATTGCACACTATCGGTCCCATAAGGACCCTCAATGTCTCAGATTCATCTCCGTCTGCCCACTCTGTCGGGAACACTTCGGAGATGAGACCCTGATTGAGGAAGGCTACAGCATCGGACCCTCACGCCGACCTCAAAATGGGCCCCGTATACTACATTGTCAGATTTGAATAGGAACCTGTGAGGATGCTGGAGTCGTCTCATGCGCGGGTCCTTGAGTAGAACTGTAAGACTTCATAATTCCAGTTCTCCTCACCACCATCTCGGTATTGAGCTTCTCTCGTCTCTCTCCCCCTGGCCTGAATCTCTACCATCGTTTGCTCGGCTTCTCAACTATGGGACACCGCAAATCACTGCTACTTGCAGCTTCGTGCTTTTTCATAACGGGACAGGCTGCCCACTCTCTGTCGCATGGGTACTTTCATCATCGCGCTGAGCACCAGGCTCATCCACGCACAGCTGACTCCGATAATGCGAGCTCGACAAGCGTGTCAATGTTCCCTAACGGCACTCTATCTGGCTTGGGTCTGTCATCCACGTGCGAAAACGCATTGTACCAGACGCTCGACTGCAATGATGCCGTCTCGTTGATTGACACAGATGACTACAGTGATAGCCTGGACAATGCCACACTGACAGCTCTAATCTGTGCTTCCAGCTGCGAGGCTTCGATTGCGCAATTGCATGATTCGGTTTCGGCTAATTGCGGTTCATCAGCTGAACTAATTCCTGGAATGTCGTTCCTGGCTCTCGTTGACCAGTTCTGGAGCAGCTGGAATCAATCTTGCTTCGTGGACCCCACGACAGGCGAGAACTGCAATGGTAATAAGAATGCTCCCATATGCACTGGCTCGCCTACGATCAATAATCTGTCACCAGATGCTAACAATGGCATAGATGAGATTGCATCCTTTGCTAACGTCGATTCGTTGTCCAACATCTCAACCTCGGACTTGTGCTCCTATTGCTACGTGAAGAAGCTGGAGCTGATGCAAGCGGATGCTTATTCGGATGCCTACAACGATGACTGGCAGTCGACCTTTGAGTACGTGGCAGCAACGTGCAATTTGACGGTGGCGGACTTCAACGCCACGGCCAGCGCCTTCAATGCATCCGTACCCACGACCACCCCCAGCTGTGTCTCGGGGAATGTCTACACCACTCAAGATGGTGACACGTGTGACTCAATTGCTCTGGCAGAAGGGGTCTCGGCGGCAACCATGTACTACACCAACCCCAATATCCTCAATTGCTCGGCTATCTCAGCTGGAACCGCTCTCTGCCTTCCCCTGACCTGCACCGATGTCTATTCCGTGCAGCCTAATGATACATGCTCTACTGTTGCAGTCGCCAACTTCATCACAACAGCTGAGGTAATTAACTGGAATTCGCAGTTGACCTGGAATTGCTCCAATTTGCACTCGACCAATCCTAACTGGGGCTCGGTGCTCTGCGTCTCCCCTCCCGGTGGAACATACACCGGCCAGGCCTTGAATACGACGTCTTCTGGCGAAGCCGAAGCAGTCGATCCGCCAGCAGGCGTTCAGGTAGCCTTGGGAACTACCCTTGACTGCGGTGCGTGGTTTGTCAACGAGGCCAGCTTGAACTACAACTGCTCGGACATCTGTCTGGCCAACAGTATTGCCATTCACTTGTTTACTGAGGCTAACCCTTCGCTCAACTATACCACCTGCGACTCGGATCTTGTTACGGGTGACGCTTACTGTGTTGACCCTTTGTCTGGCTGGCAATACAGCAACATGACTGCGACAAACGGCACCTTGACGACGGTTACAGCTGCCACCAGTCCCACTGCTCCGGTTCAGACCGGCATCGCTGCGAACTGCAATGCATACTACGCCGCTCAATGTAGGACACTCAAACCCTGACCACACTTGGGAACCGATGTACTAACTCTCCTCGCAGCCGGTGACAACTGTGACTCCATTGCCGCCGACTTCGATATCACAGTGGCTCAGTTTCTGGCCTGGAACCCTGCCATATCTTCGGACTGCACGACCGGTTTCTGGGCCGATGAGGATTACTGCGTAGGCGTGGTGACTAATACCACCGCGATTGTGACTGCTTCCGCGACCCTTGCATCCTCTTCCGCTCCTTCTTCTTCGTCCTCCTCTGTGTCGTCTTCTCTTTCTTTCACCACACCACCGGCCCCCACACAATCCGGCATACCGGCGAACTGTGACGAGTACGCTGTCGCAGAGAGTAAGTCAACTCCCCACCCTCCTCCCCCCAATCCGGTCCTTGAGTCCAGAAATGCTGATGAAAAACTTTCTCCGTTCGCAGCGGGCGACAACTGCGCCACTCTTGCAGCTAAATACAGCATCACCGAAGCCCAGTTCCTCGCCTGGAACCCAGCTATCTCGTCCGACTGTACGACCGGCTTCTGGGCGGACGAAGCCTACTGTGTCGGGGTGTCTGGTTCCAGCACCGCCACAACGACCTCAGCCACGTCTACCTCCGTGGCATCGGTGACTCCCCCTGGCCCAACTCAGAGTGGGATTCCCTCAAACTGCGATGAGTACTATGTTGCACAAAGTGAGTCTGGTCCCATGGCTAAACAATGAAAATGATTACATCCATTTCTCGATGTGGTCATCAACTAATGTGAGATCAGCCGGCGATAATTGTGCTACTGTCGCAACCAAATACGACATCACCGAGGCTCAATTCTTGGCCTGGAATCCGGCAATCTCCTCGGACTGTACGACAGGTTTCTGGGCCGATGAAGCGTACTGTGTTTCGGTTTCCTAGGGGATTGAAGTCTTTGCTGCCTTTCGTAGTTTTTCCAGGTGGCCAAAAGGAATGTATGTGGCTTGAGGAGGAAAGGTTCCAGGGAGGTGTATTTACTTGGCCAGAGCTGCTCTTTGGTGGCTCTACTTCATTTCTGTATCGACTTTGTCCAATATCTTCGTTCCTAATACACCTTGCCCTTCTCAGATATTGAAGCCGTCATTCTGCTTGAACAACAGCTGTTATGTCTCAATTCACCGCTGCGAGTCTGTGATAAACTCACGTGGCTATACATGCCCTGTGAGCCGACTATTTAGATTTAGCGGTGTTGGCACCCAAGAAATCCCCCTTCAGTCCAAAAACGCGACTCCTCGTCTCTGAATGTCTTTTTTCCAGTGGTATGAGCTTGGCCGATTGAATTCTACCTCAATGGATCTCTCCAGCTATGCAGAGATTTACGGCATACAAACTTAACAAACTCTCTGTTGCAAGATGTTCTACAACCTCGATCAAGAGCAATCACGGCCGTCACCCATAGAAAGGCATAACCCATGGAGGTTATGCCAGAGCAAATCGGCTAGAAGGCTGGATTGTGTGAGACCATACCCATCGTAGCTACCTATATCAAAGCACGGCGAGAAAACCTTGGATTTTCCCCAACCAGTTCAGTCATCTTCAATAGAAAGTTCGAGATACCCAACTCGTGAAGGTACACTGCATGATTAGACAGATTGTTCCGAGCTACCATCATTAATTGGGGCTCGGGGTAAGTTGTTAACTGGAGAAAGGAGGTAACTCGGAACAAGCCACGCGAAGCCTTGCATTCATTACCCCGCTCAACAAGCAAAACATACCCCCATACTACTGGCTGCCTTCCAGTAGTTCAGAATGCGCCCGTCACTACGCTTGCCAACGCACAAGAACTTCTTAGAGGTCTTTGCATACGTGTAGCGCTTGCAGCCTTGTTTGCAGGGATATGATCTGACGTGTCACCGGCCTTCGGAAATCATTGTGGACTCCCCTCATAGATCAATCCTGAACTCGTTCTTCGAGGACTTATAAAGTCAGACACAAACGAGCCTCTTGACACGACTTTGCAATCCATCTCGACAAGCTGACGCCAACCATCAAACAGAATGGGCAAGAAGAACCCGAAAAAAAAGAACACGAACCTGAAGAGCCGCAACAAGGCAGAAGGTCTTCAGGCATCAGAGCCGGAGCCAGAGCCAGAACATGTGCCAGAGCTGGAGCCCGAGCCAGAGCTAGAGCCAGACCATGAGCCAGAACATGAGCCACAGCTAGAGCCAGAGTCAGAGCTAGAGCCAGAGCCACAGCCAGAGCCAGACCCAGTAGCAGACCTCAGCATTCCAGAGCTGTTGGATTATACTCAGAGAGACGAAAGGTAAGCCCGCAATATTGAAGCTTCTGTCTAGATTGTCCATGCCTGCTATTTCCTTGTGTTCTTTCGTAATCCTCCTATCTTCATTGTTGCAGTTTTCTTCGAGGTTTTCGCTTCCCATTCATCCCTTCCCAATGGCGCTAACGTGAGCAGTCCTTACATGACCTCCCCAATCACTTTCAAGGTGGGAAAGGAGTATTACACGATCCTACAATACTACCTGCGTCCTTTCCCTCAACTCAAGTGCAATCCATCCGATCTCCACCGGGCACCTGATACATACAATCAGTGGGGGATTCGATCACTAGGCCCGGTTTATCAGCTCGAGCTGACGATCGAACCCCAAGCCGCGCATACCTTTATCCATTACCTCTCTACCGGTCAATACGAAACGCTTCGCAGCGAGTTTGCACCCATCGAGAATGCTGCCGATGTTACCGAGACCCTGCGCGCCCGTGACATTGAGGAGCTGACGCGCGCAGCCCACACTTACGCTGCGGCGGTGCTGTACGAAGTCCCTGGCCTACAGGAGCTGGCCAAGGGCTTTCTGGTGCGGTTCGCGGAGCGGCTGCCAACTGAGGATATTTTGAAAGTGACAAGAGAGATATACGACAGTCTCCGTCACATGGAGCCGGCTCGCGCTTGGTTGGAGGTTTTTGTTCGGGGGCGTTTAGAGGCTGCATTCTCGGATAGAGAAGTATCTCTGCGACAGATCATAAGGGAATATGACGTTGGCAGAGGGGGAAGCTTTGACCGCTTCATCGTCGATGAAACGTTGGCCATCTTTGAGAGGGACAGAGAGGAAGTCAACCAAGCCCTTAGTGGGCTTGGTGAGCCGGAGGAAGTGGCTGAGCTGGAACCGCTTTCTGAATCGGGGCTTGTACCCGATCCTGAGCCTGGGCTAGAGGCTGAGCTTGCAAGCGAGTCTGAGTCCGAGTCCGAGCCCGAGCCCGAGCCTGAGCCGTAGGAGATCGAATTTGAGGATCGGCCTATGCCAGAGCCTTTCCCAGAGGCAGAGATTGTATTGGATCTGGATCCAGGACCAATACCAGGATCAAATATAACGCCTAAAACTGAGTCTCGGTTGTGGGAAGATCAACTAGCACTGGCAATCTCTACAGAGACCTGAACCGGAAGCTTCAGTCACAACACAGTCTTCGGAAGATCCCTTATGAAACGACGCTGGCTTTCAGTAGGACCAAGGCGGAAAAAGAAGAAGAAGGGTCAGAATTTGCAAGAGCCGGCCAAAGAGACGCTGCAGCCCGTAGCTGGCCCTATTTCAGAAGTGACTGCCGAAAGGGCCGGTGCTGTGTTTAAGATGGTGCAAACTCGCTTTTGTTTTGATTGGACACATTTCGAGCGCTTGATGGGCATGTGGGCGATGCTAGTGGTCATCCAGACTTGTATAAGTATGCAGGATCAGTCCAATCAGTCCTCAGCAGGAATGCCATTGTTGTCGCTTTTTGTCTTGAGACATGCCCTTGCGAGATCCATCTATATTGCACGTTGCACTGGTCCATTGGCCAACAGTAATGCGAGCCCATCTCAACCTACTACATGACCGGGCTTTGAAAAAAAAAAGACGCTCTAGGACTTAGGGGCGAGAATGTCTGGTTGCCTAGAGATTGCCTCTAGAATTTGACACTAATGTCAATTTCTATGTAGTGTATATTATCTAAAATGATTTTTTAATAACTATTTCATACTACACTTTTTTTTACATACGGTCTATTCTGCAACTATTGATTCCATGGTTTTCTGAATACTCAAAGTTAACCTAGGTGCTTTTAAGTATTATTCATGTTATCAGTAAAATTGAGGTTGTAACTAATAGAAAAATGAATTTTTGATTAGATGCCTGCTTGATTCCACTATCTTGCTATCTATATTACATGGATATAAACCCACAAGGCGGTTAGTAGGATATGTAGCAGAAGTACTTAAAAGAAACTGTCACTTTGTTGGCAGTTCACCTTGATAGTTCAGCTATTCTTTTAGCAAACCACTTTGCGGGTTTATATTTATATAGTATAAATAGCAAAACAGTCGATTTACTACTAGCTAGTAATTGGACGGCGAATAGCCTGACCTCTCCACCACTGAGGGAAGGCCGAGAGGCAGAAGTTTGCTTATTGCGCGAGGCTACCTGCCAGGTAGTATGCGTTAGGCTATTGTCATGACACCAGTGAGTCATCGACGAGATGAGATGGGATGAGATGAGCAATTGAGCCTCGCAGGGTCTCGGGGTCTCGTCCCACGCGTGGGTCGGTCTCGATTTCTCCGCGTTGTTGTTTGCGTTGGGCGCCACGCGTATCTCACATACTTGATGCAAGAAAGTACTGTACACAATTTCCATTACTATTGCTATGATTATGATGCACAACGTCATCCCTATCCTCAACCAACGACAACCACAACAAAGCCGAGCACCTAAGCACCCGCCTGCAGCAAGCCCTGAGCAATCAGCTCAGCCAACAGATTAACCGTCGTATTTCTTTGCAACAGAACAACGAAGGGGACGTCGACCTCGAAGGTCCGGAACACAAACGTCCGAAACTCGGCCGCCAGCATCGAGTCCAACCCAAAGTCGCCCAGGGGGCGATCAGGATCCAATTCCGTCTCCGGGAGGAGGATGAGGTTGGAGATCTTCTTCGACACCACCGCGCGCAGGGCAGGGAGCATCGACTTGGGATCCTGCTGGTCGCGGAGCAGCACCGCGCGCGCGATGTCCGCGGGGAGATGCTGCGCGGCGACGGCAGTGCTGTGCTGTGTCTCGCCCGCGGCGCGGCGACGGGCGAAGGATGCCGTGAACAGTGCCGCTCGTGGGTCGGCGAAGACGTGGTTGTCGCCCTCGAAGCCTCGGTCGCGCTGCTCGTGCAGGCCGATGAACTCGACTCCCGTGAGGAGGTGGCTGCCTGCCAGACGGTCGTACCGGGAGTCCCACATGCACGGCCCTTGATTCACGAGCGCCAGGTTCATGATCTGGAGGAGCTCGTCTTCGTTGATGGGGTGGATGCCCTTGCGCTTCATCAGGGCTTCAATGTCCGGGTGTTCGTGCAGGTACCCGACTTCCGAGATCATGCCGTAGCCGATCGAGATGGCCGGTAGCCCGAGGTGGTTGCGGTACCGCGCGAACGCGTCTAGGAAGGCGTTGGCCGCGCAGTAGTTGCTCTCGGTCGCCGTGCCCACGGTGCCGGAGATGGAGGAGGTCATGACGAAAAAGTCCAGCTGGGAGTGGTTTCGCGACAACGCATGGTGAAGGTTCCATGTGCCCCGCACTTTGGGCCCCAGGGTCGTATGCCACGCGCGGTGCGACATTTCACTCCACAGAGCCTCGCTGAGCGCCATGGCGGCCTGGATGACGCCCCCGATGGGACAGTCTGCCGCTGCTGCGACGGCGCGTTCGACATCCTCGTACCGGCACACATCGCCCCGGATCACGGTGACGTGGGCTCCTTGGGCCCGGAGATCGTCAACCATGTTCTGTGCCTCGGGCTTGTCGGTGCCGGATCGACCCATGAAGATGAACCGGCGCGCCCCGCACGATATCATCCACTTGGATAGACTGCGGCCGAGCCCGCCCAGGCACCCGATCATGAGGTAGCACTTGTGGGCACTGAAGGCTGTTTCATACTTGGTCGGAATCACCTTGATCTGGGTGCTCGGGTCCTGGAACGACACGGTCACCTTGCCCAGTCGCGTGCCCAGCGAGAAGTGCCTGAACGCATCGGTGATATCCGACGCATCGAAGGTCTTGATTGGGAAACAGGGCTCGCAGATCTTGGATCTCACCAGAGCCAGACTTTCCGTCAGGAGGGCTTTCCAGAGTTGGTGATGGGTGGACTTGGTGGAGAGATAGAGATTGGACAGGTCGAAGGCCATGAAGGAGACGTTGCGGCCGAACGTGGACATGTCCAGGACCCCATGGTCGAGGATGTCACGTTTCCCGATTTCAACGAAGCGGCCAAAGTCGGCACAGGCTTCGAAGCTGCTGCGCAGGAGATCCCCGGTGAGCGAGTTCAAGACCACGTCAACTCCCTGACCAGACGTCGCTTCCATGATGGCAGGCAGGAAGGAGGAATTGCGCGAGCTGAAAATGTGCGCGGGATCCAGACCGTACTTCTCAACCAGGAATGACTTCTTGGACTCATTCCCGACAGTGGCGAAAATCTATCGAGTGGCTCAGTATGAATGACCCAAATAAATGACTGCTGACTCTCAAGCGACCTTACCTTTGCTCCGAGGTGTTTCGCATACTGGATAGCCGCAAGTCCAACCCCTCCGGCAGCGGAATGAATGAGAACAGTCTTGGGTCGAGTAAGCCTCAGATTATGCGAGATAAGCAAAGTCGACAGCACTTACCTCTCCCGGCTGCAAATGCGCCCGGTATTTCAGTCCATAAATGACCGTTGAGAAAACAATCGGGATCGTGGAGGTCGTCTGCACATGATGCGTGAGCCTTCTGCGTGCGTAATCAAGGGACACGCAACACTTCACGTACCGTGAAATCCTCCTCCTCGCGCAATTTCGACACGGCCCAGTGAGGGAAGCGCTCGACGGTTGCAAAATGACCGGGGGCCACTGCAACGACACGATCCCCGGTCTTGAACTCGGAAACATTGCCGCCTACCGCGGTAACAACACCGGCACATTCGCACGAACATGATGCATTCTTGGTGTCCACCTTGGCGCTGATAGCGTACAGATCCTATGTTTCTCATTACCGACCCCTCTTTTGATACTTCCTAACCGGCGGGGTACCTACCTTAGCGTTCATACCGACGCTTTTCACGCTGATTTCCACATAGTCCGGATGCAAGGCCGTTGGGGGATGCTCCTCCTGCACAAAGTGGATCGTGTCCATCTGCCCCGGGTCCTTGATACCCAATTTGCAACCTCGAGCGGATGACAGAGGGAGGTCAACGGTGTCCCTGTTCTGTTTGAGACGGAAGGTCTCGTTGAGGCGCTCGTCTGGCTCCCAGCGAGAGATATGGAGGGCGCCGTCCCGTTGCGCGAATTCGAAGTCCGGTTCCGGGTCGTGGATCAGTTGGTCCAACACATAAACAACATTCCGCAGTGTCAGCAGCAGCAGCAGTAGCAGATGATGAGGTCGATGATGTCTCGTCGCCCACGTCGAGAACCGCGAAATGGAGTGAAGGCTGCTCGAGCATGAGCGCGCGGGAGAGTCCCAAAACGGGCGCAAAATCGGGCCTTTCTCCCCCAATGAAGCAGCCACTGACGATCCATACGATCTTCGCTACGCGATCGGTTAAACTCTGGAGCTGTGCCAGTTCATGCTCGTTGATCGTGGTCAGAAGAGGCTGCTGCTGCTCTAGAGTGGATACGACGAATGATCGGTCCGGAACGGTCGCGGGGCTGATCTGGGACAAGCCAATGATTTTGACGACAGTTCCGAAATGTCCTTGCAGGGTCTTTTGAAGCTGTAGATCCAGGGGTGTAATCTTGTCATCTCGGGTCACCTGTACCTTTGTTAAAAATCAGACGTGTTTGGAGGTAGTCAAATAAGATAAGAACTTACCACGATTGTCCGGGGTTCATCCGCCTTTGCCTTCCTAGCAAGGCTGCCGAAAGTCGCGACTGTGACAAGGGCGGGGGTTGTTCCTCTGATGACATTCGTCCAAGTGATAGCGTCGCTGGGTGGTGCATCCCCTACCGCGATGACAGTTGCTCCCGGTGTAAGTCTGCTGGAAAGAGCCGGCGTCCAGCAATCAACCTACCACATATCAGTTTCAAGTCAAACTCGCGAAGCAGTAGTAAACATACTGAGGGGACAAGGATTATATCAAACTTCTTGTCCTGGGGGATGCCCGCTGGACGCTCCGAGTTCTGCTCGTCTGCAGTCCCTGAAAAAACCTCTTCACCTACCAGATCGCCGTCTGCAAGGACCCCACGATAGTAGGTGTTATACCTCCTGAAAGAGGAGTCAACACGTAGAAGCTCACGAAC